TAGATAAGGGGAGAGAGAGAGAGTATGAGAAATCAAAGTTAAGATAAATTGCATTACGCTTCAATTACACATCACTTAGATAAACAATTAGTCATTAGAGAGCATTTCAAGAATTGCAAACCGAGTAATATCAATAGTAATAGTTATGATAACAATAATAATAGTGTTGAGGTGAGTTAAGATAATCCTACTGATAAAGGATAGTTTTAAATAAATCAAGAATAACAACAATGATAATAATGATAAGAGGTAGAATAATAAGTAAAACGTATTGCCATGGTAGATTCAGAGTCACGAGCATCTCTTTTTATACACATAGATTTGGTTTATAAACTCGAATTGCACAAACCTCTGCAATAGCAAGCATCTTCTTGCTTCTTTGTCTGCTGACAATAGTGAATGACTAGACCGCGTCGATATCATGTTCGTAGTCCACAAGATGTTTTGTTATTGAGGATTTTGGCACTTTGCACTCAACTATTTTCAACTATTTTAGCAAATGCTTGATCACGCGAGTGGACAATCGCCTCTCTGTACGACCTGTGCGTATTTGCTTCCACAAACACACACAAATTGATATACGCAGTTTGAAATGTCGAATATTGGCTAATGGTCTTGATCAGATTGTTGAAGCCGTCGCTTAGTGGTGTTAAGGATAACAAGTTTTGTAGCATATTAAGTTCTCTTGATGGCTTTATCGAGTCTTTGCTTGACTACTTCCTGTACATCATCTCCTTTGAACGGCAAACTGATATAGAGAGGTTTCTTCGAAACAGTTTGAATTGTTTTGCGGAGGCTAATTTCTTTAGAGTATTTATTAATGAAATTCTCAGGATATCCATTCTGAGATGTACTATCCTTCAGAGATTTTATTTCATGCTCAGTAGTACTGTCAGAATCGATTTTTCGTGCTCTATTGAACAATGTTCTGACTAAGTTCTTTTTGTACTGGATTGGAACAAAGCTCTGGAAATGCATGTACTGCCCTTTCTATGAAGACTTTCTAAGTATGTATCTTTCGATTGTGCCATTATTCATTTTCGCCAGAAAAACGTCTAGAAATTCAATAGTATCGTTTTCCTCGTGTTCTACTGTGAAATTGAGATTCGGATGGCATGAGCTGAATTTTATCAGCATGTCTTTGGCTTTTGGTCTGATCCACAGACAATAAAAATGTCATCAACATATCTTAGGTATATATATATCAGTTTCCTGTATATGTTATGCTAGGTACCAGTTTCTGGACCTGAAAAGAAAAAGTCTGCGAAAAGTGGTCCCAAAGGACTTCTAATTGCGAAACCATCAGCTTGACGGAATAGACGCCCGTCGAATTGGAATTGGACATTTTTAGTACATAAAAGTAACAATTTCCTCAATTCCGATGTTGAAGCTTCGGCTACATTTAGGTTTCCTGCTAGTTGACACTCACTGGTCAGTCAGCAAGGTTTACCTGCAAATTTCATGAAACTCATTTCCCTTCTGAAATTAGAACCTGCGTCACCCAGTGCTGCACTTGGAGGCGTTACCACTGAACTATTTGGAGTCATAGTTGACCTTTAGTAGGACTTTATTGGATAGTTCGACTGGAAACTAGTTAGTAGAGAATGAATTGTGTAATGGTAGTGAGCCTCTTAGTGGTATGGTGGCCACATTGCAAACTTGACTATTAGAATTCAGCCTGCACCAAAGAGTGGACTGACTGGACTAGTTACTGACTAGTAATCAGTCAAAGAATTAAGTAGTGATATAAATTTTGTGTTATTTTTTTCACGTTAGTCTTAAGTACCATAATATTTGCCTTTTTCTCCAAATTATTAATAACAATGAAGCCCCTTTTCATATGATTATGCAGAGATATACATGCAGGATCCCCAGTACAATATCCTGAGGAGTTGCTTTCAATAGCCTTACATGACAGTATTTACTTTATAACTACTTCAGAGGTTCTCTTAAATACTACTACTACTACTATTAATGTAACAACAGAAAACAAGGGCCAGACAACAGATCGTTTATTAAGCAAATCAACACATGTTTATAGATTTTCATGTACATTATTATAGATTATTGTTAGCAGAAAAACACAGTCTTCTGATTGGCTGTTTCTCACGGAAATTTAACCTTGCATCTCTTTGTGGCTGTTTCTTGAATGTCAGGTCATCTATATGTTAACTGTATCCGCCTACGCGAAGCCTTTGTTCTCATTTTTCTAACGATCAATATTGGGAACACAAACAATGATGTAAATTACTATCCACTAATTTTTACTAACAGCCAGCTCTCACCACACTTAGACTTCTGTCACTCACTTTTTCCACAAAACGGAAATTAGGCGAAATATTGTTGTTATTCTCTTATGATCCGAGTGGAGCACTGGATTTCAGAAGCACATGACAACTGCATCCTGTTCTCTGAAGGCTTTTTTACATGTCCTCTCGATTGTGCATAAGCCTTCACATCATATTCACAGGAACTTCATTCCACCCTCAGACTCACATTCATCTTGTCATTTCCCGTTCAGGTTCCACTCAACGGCCTGACGCCTTACGCCATTCAACGGTCTTTTCACCATCCAGCTGATCCTGTTATATGAGCCTAATTTTATTAAAATACTACAAGAATTTTTTCCATGGCTAGGTGCATTGCTCTTAGCCCAGTTATGACTTTGGAATCCTATTAGTTGTGCACTGTGTTAATTTATCATAGTGATTGGAGTCTCTCTAGGTCATTTGAAGAATATATACACATGCGCTGTCAACCATTTTTGGCTATTGATACGAGACAGTATAAGCTCTCCCCGCCAATGGTCTGTCTTCTCTTTTTGTCTTCTATCTAACATATATCATCAGAATAAAAGGTTATTTATGTAATAATATTCTCTACTCTTCCATTTATCCATGATTTTGACCTTTGAATCATCATTATGACGAGTATTGTTTCAAACTTAACCTTTTCCTAAACTTTCTTAACGTTTAGATAAATAGCCATGCATCCAGAAGGTCTTGGACTCAAAACTCTATGGGTGAGTACTGCCGATGAGTCCCAAGCACTAGAACGAAGTAGCTGTGTGCGTCGGTGGCACAGTGGTTAGGACTCTCACCGATCATGCACATGGTCCGGAGTTCGATCCTCTGCTGACGCACACCTGATATCTATGGTCGGCCTGCAAAATTCGGGCTACCGATATCATGATATGCTGAAAATTCTATACCTGTACCAAAAATACAGTGTGGAATCAAGCTGAAATAAAAAATAAAAAAAAATAAAAATAAATCCCCTGGTTTTCAAATATTCTCTAACTGATATCAATCCGTATCGCCTCAGAATTAACTTTTCCTATACTTTGTTAACTTTTATATAAATTTTCAAAATAGAATGGAAACTGAACAAAGAGTACTCTTTTAGATAACCTCTTCTTTATCAGGCTCTACAGTAATGGATACATTATAGTGAATGAATGAATCAGTGTTATGAACAGCATTAATGTGTTTTAAATAACATCGAATCAATAATAATAATACCAATCGATTACAGCTCAGTAGCATCAACTTAACAATAAACTGAATGTCAGAAATATTAGGGGAGATAATACTACAAATTCATGAATTTATAGTCTCTACTGAAGGCTGGTCAGGGCAGTGGTAGTGACTGACTGGACTTGCTTCTTTAGCACACAGAGCACTGGTTGTTTGAGGCGAATTGCTATAGTCTCTGCTCTTTGGAGCATGTGGTGCATCGATGATTTCGGCAAGTTATTTGGTACCCAGTAGATGATGACAGAGAAGGATTCTCCCACGCTGGCTGACTTTGTGGCCAGTTTGCATCATATAGTCCATTATTGGACTGGTAATGGTTTCCACCGCACCTTTACTTATCCACAGTGGGAGATTTTCTCGAGAGAGGACGAAAAATCAAGTTTCTAGAGCAACGGCCAATATAACTCGCTCCACCACAAGCGCAGTTGAATTGGTAGATACAATTTGAAGTGGCCAGCTAGTCCAGGCACTTCATTTTCATTCCAAGTATTTTTTTGATTACAGCTTGATTCCACACTGTATTTTCGTACAAGTATGGAATTTTCAGCATATCATGATATCGGTAGCCCAAATTTTGCAGGCCGACCATAGATATCAGGTGTGCGTCAGTGGCAGGGGATCGAACCTCGAACCATGTGCATGGTCGGCGAGAGTCATAATCACTGTGTCACCGACGCACAGTGGTCATGTAGAAAATAATTTGTGTAGTTCGCCAGCATTAATTTCCTCGTAATTATCTCACTTGGTATATCGCCCATGAATTGTAGTCGTATAAAAAGTGGCCTATAGTTTACAGATAGTGATTAGTCCTTTTCCGACTTCTCTGTCATGTGTTTCTTCTTAAATTTTTCGGGATCTCTAGCTATTTTCGATCAAAGTATCATATACAATGCTTAATTCATCTTCAATTTATTTCTTCTGAGCATAAAGCTCTAACTAACTCTATGGCTGAGGGTCTTCACTAAATTTCTTTTGTACATGACAGTAACGAAGCTGTAAAAATGTGTATATTGTCCTGTTCAAGCACTTTTTCTATACAAATTTCTTTTTTTATGCTAACATCTGGTTTTCGTGTAAGCCAGACATCCAGGAATGTTGATGCTATTGAGCAGTAATCTATCAATATTACTGATTCGATGTTAATGTTGTTCATAACACTAATTCATTCATTCATTATAATGTATATATAACTGTAGAGTCTGATTATGAAGAGGTTATCGTAAAGAGTATTCTTTGTGCAGTATCCATTGTTATATATAAATATTCATAACGCGTTTTCGGTTACATGATCAGAATACTCGGAATAAGTTCGCCAATACATTACACACATCGGACAAATTATATCATTTTACTGCTTTATCAAAATTCTTGTCGGGATACTAATTGGTATAACTGTAAAATGTTTTTGAATGAACCAACAACTCAATAGAGTTTCTTTTACACTTCACTCATTTCTATTTTTAGCCTTACATTATTTATTGGTATGAATGGGATACCGTAAAGGAAATCGATGCTGGGTATTATCAGTGTCGAGCTCGCAATACTATTGGCTGGAGTCTTTGGTCACCACAACTACAAGTGATTGTTAACGGTAAGCTCAGTCTTGGTTACCTTTCAGATTATTATTACTACGGCAGTGATTCCATGTTAGTGTGCTTATGAGATGTATATCCCTGACACAGTGAAACAGTAATTTTTACTGGAAAACGTTTTGAACATAGTTTGTTGTTTTTAATCATATCAATTATAACCACACGACTTCGAAACCTGAGCTTTATTGATAACTTACGTAAGTAGCTCGAATTTTCTAGTGCATCTAGTGTGCATTGGTGGCACAGTGGTTAGGACACTCCCCGACCATGCACAGGGTCTGAGGTTCGATCCCCTGCCACTGACGCACACCTGATATCTATGGTCGGCCTGCAAAATTCGGGCTACCGATATCATGATATGCTGAAAATTCCATACTTGTACGAAAATACAGTGTGGAATCAAGCTGTAATCAAAAATAAATAAAATAGTGATTTGATGCTATGGGTTTGAGCGCAGGTGTGTATGTAACAACAGAAGACAAGGGTCAGGCAACAGATCGTTTATTAAGCAAATCAACACGTACTGATATATTTTCATATACATTATTATAGCTTATTCAAGCAAACAAACACAGTCTCCTGACTGGCTGTTTCTCATGGAAATTTAACCTTGCATCTCTTTGTGGCTGTTTCTTGAATGTCAGGTCATCTATATGTTAACTGTATCCGCCTACGCAGAGTGTGCTGTGGTTGTTTGTTGAATCAGTCTTTGTTCATATTTTCTCACGACCAATATTTGGGACACACACGTTGACGTAAAATACTGTCTACCACTTTTGGCTCTCAGCCACCTCTCACCACAGGTAAAGGTTGAAGTTGAGTCAGTGACTCACTGAAGAAGACATTGTTAGGTGGTCGCGCTTTGTCATGAATTGGCAGAAGTTAGAATCCATGGACTGGCCATTGGGTCGAGTATCAGTGGCTTAATGGTCTATGTGCTTTCTAGCCTTGTAACCAGAAGGTTCAGTGTTCGAACACTGGTGATGGGTACGTATTATTGAGGAGTCCCAAACTAGGCTGACGAAAAAGCTGTACAGTACTCGCAGGTTTCCCATTAGTTCTCTAGCTGATGTCAGCTCATGATGAAATCCTCTGATGAATCAAAAAACATCGCTACAAAATCAGTACTTGAAAATGCTTTTTAACTGACTAATAGTCTGTGGTCAAACTTGAAACATGTCATATCCTTACAGACCAATTCCTGAAGCTTAATCTGATGCACACTAGCAGCTGGCTACAAAAAATTTGCCTGGAGTTCCAGTGAGAAGTCATCACCAGATGGGTCCATCTGGTTGTTTGTGAATACAAATACTCGCGGATGACAGTAACCGGTGGTCGCAGTAAAATCATGAACCAGTAGAATTTAGAACTCATGAGCCATTCAATCTGGTCCTAGTGGCTGAATGGTAGCCAGAAGGTCTTCGGGATTCAAAACTTCGTGGGCGAGTACTGCCGATGACCCCGAAACTATGCTGAAATACTCGTCCAGTGTCCTCTGGTTTTCGACACCTCTCTAACTGATGTCACTTCGTGGTCAAATCTGAAATCTGGCAAATCCCTACTAACTAACCCTTGAAAAATATTCATGTTGTTAATAACAAATGTCATGTAAACTTATATGAAGACATAACTTTAGAATGTTAATTAGTTGACTATAAGAATATTTCCTGTTTACGAACCACTGTTACTATTTATAGTGGGCATTAATTTATTAAAAGTCACTCTGAACGAAGAATGTTCTTTTCAATAATTTCTCCTCATCAGGTCCTTACAATTATAAAATATGATATTTGCTGTCGTTACAATGATGATAGCCAGTTATGCGGTGGATACATTTTTAACGTAGAATAACAGATTAGTAGTTATGGGGTGTCAAAATATAAATAGTCGTATTTGTGTTACAAACGTCGTGTTAGGGTGAAATCGTTCACAAAATATTCTAAAATAGGAGTTAATGGTGGTAATTGGTCATAATAGATTCATTGGACATTTACCAGCTTGATTCAGTGGGGGAGGGGGAGGGAAGTGAATAAAAAGCTCGATCCTGTCACACTTGGTCGACACTGGATATAGCATCGACGTCAACACAACTTCCAGGGTTATATACCGAATTCCGAAGTCGTTATCACGTACAGTTCACTTACGTCTGATACACATAACTGAAGCTGTTACAATAAGATCGACTAAACCGGAATTGTATATCCAAAAAGAACAAGTCCAGATACTGTTTCTACGTGGCCAAACTGATATGTATCCATATATATACATATATATATATATATATATATATGGTGGTCTCTCTTTCTATTGCTCTCTTAGTCTGTGACCATTTCACTTTGATGAACCTGTCTCCTCTAACAATGTATATTCCCCCTATATTATATATAATATGAGTGTTTGTTGACAGCCCGTTGCTTGGTGACATATATCCATATTATTTGTGTGGTTGTTGACATGTCTGCTATATTTTGCTATGTATATATGGATCGATACTCCATTATAATTAGCCATTCATGTTAAGACTGTCTATTGATTTGTTCACACACTTGTCTGGACATTCATATATATTTCGCTCTCACAATCTTGTGTGACACTTTGGTGTGATACCACTTATTGCTTCTCCTTGTGTTTGGAAAATAGAAGTATCATCGCAAACCTAGTGGTCTTCTGATTTCCGCCTTCTTGCGTCAGGACTATTAAATTCTCGACCAGTACATAACAATAATTTGGCGACGGGGAAAACTACTATTAACCACTTAGCAGCAGAACACAAACTTGGATTGATGATTCTTCTCCTTACCAGGAGTGCTCCTTCCCCTTGACCCTCTTGATTTTTTTCCTTTCCTTGTTATTACAAATATTATTCTTCTCCATAATTTATGCCCATCATGCAAACATTCCCTCGGTACTATCGAATTTTTCATTTATACTATCCGGACTTATTATTAGTGATATTACCTCTTTTCTCAATACATGCCTCCACCTGTTTCCTTTCACATATTCGTTATTTCATTATGAACCACCTCTCATTGCAGTCTTACTATCTCCGAACACAGACCCCCTTTGTACTAGCCACTCACCTGACACCTTTTATAACCTTGAACTGGCTTGTCGATTTTCCTGCCCCACACTCTACAAATCTATTATGATTAATCACCACCACCATTGTCTCCCGTTTTACGATATTTTGTGAACAATTTCACCCTAACACGACGTTTGTAACACAAATACGACTATTTATATTTTGACACCCCATAACTACTAATCTGTTATTCTACGTTAAAAATGTATCCACCGCATAACTGGCTATCATCATTGTAACGACAGCAAATATCATATTTTATAATTGTAAGGACCTGATGAGGAGAAATTATTGAAAAGAACATTCTTCGTTCAGAGTGACTTTTAATAAATTAATTGCCTGAAGATGGCTAATAGGGAGAACCAGACAGATGTTTCTTCCTTGTTTTGAAACACTTGCTGATGGTTAAGTTATATGTCATCAGTAGGCAGAAGTTAGGCTTAATGAACCAGTGAATCGCATCCCAGAGACTCAGTGGTATGCAACCTTGCCATATGTAACCTGGAGGTCCTGGGTTAGATCCTTGGCGGCGGCATCATGATTGCGTACAGCTGAATAATCCCAGAGAAGGACTAACTAAATAACCGGCTAGTAACCCTTGGTTTTTTCAGTGATTCTGTTAACTGGTGTTTTACTACCTGTTTTGCTGACTAATCCACTTTCTTCTTTATTCAACAGAACTACCCTACTTCACAAAGAAGCCAAATTTAATTGAATTTGTAAAAAATGGTCAACCAGTAGTTCTACAGTGTCAAGCCAGCGGACATCCAAAACCTGTTATTCACTGGTACTATGTAAGTTGAATACAATTCACAAAGTTCATTTGAGTGAATAAAGTTTTACAATGATGTTTCTAGCCCTATAGAATTAATTGATCAACTTCATTTGTCCTACATTAACCTTAAGTTATAACTCTCTAGTATTACATTGACGCCTCATTTACCTTATTCGTTGGCAAAGCTTTTTCATAGATTCTCCAGTAGGCAAAAAGAAAAATTCAATGGGTGTTAATCAGATCTTGTTTTTTTATGCGACCTTTGACCTGATGAACGATTATAACTCATATTATCCTGAAATGATTACTCCATTTCGGTTTAACCGAAAATTACTGTTTCCTCGATAAATATATATGTCCAAAACAAGTTCACTTTTAACAGTTTGAAAACATTTGGGCATTGGGTAATATGATATTCATTATAATAAAGGTTTTCTTGTATTTCCCAATGAATGAATGTAAAACAAAACGATATTGTCATTTTTACTGACGTTTCGCAATTTAATGCTGCTGCTAATAGCTTTATCAAAGTGGTATTATTAAACCGGAATTTACAAAATCTCAGCATATATATAACAAAGAATTAAGAGCTGAGAAAATAGACAAGTTAGGTCAAGTTAAAAGGATATATTGAAAGTCAAAATTACAATGAAGATCACTAAACAAAATAACAAAGGTACACAGTACGTCTGTTATGATATCAAAAGAACGTTTACTAACTTGATCATCGTTCATCTGTCTGGGGTCATATTTCGTTGTCAAGTTGGTCAATCGGTGGAGATAACAAAATCAACTGTAGATTGTTCGGTTTGATCAGTGCGTAAAATTATAAAAGCAGCGTTTGTTTACATAATGAAATTGCTTATCATATTCATAATAATAATAATAATAATTTACTTTATTCCAAAAACAGTACTTGTGATACAGAATGGAATTTTCAGCATTAATCACAATATTGCATCTAATTTCCTCAAATTATAAATAAAAATTAATCACACAGAAAATTTTCCACACTTACAATAGAGGTAGTGTCAAAAACATGCAGCATATAAAATGGAAATAGCAATAATAATGATAACAGCTAAGGTAGTAATAATAATAAGAATACAAGTGAAAATCCCCGTTGGCTTGTGCAACACACTATTGTCAATGCGGTATAGAAATCCTAACATGTTTAAAAATATTGAATATAATGTTCTCTTTACATGATGGTGATGGTGAGGGGAAAAACAAACATTACAGTAGTCATGATGATAAGTTGGTGTTTGCAATTATGAGAGTAAAACAGAGAAGTAACAGGACCATAAATATAATAGAAGTAATAAAAGTAAAACTTGAAAGTATATAAGGATGGATGGAGGAAATTGTTTATTTACTAGATGAAAAAAGGTTAGTTAATTCTTTCCTGACACTATTTTCATCACATAAAATACGTGCCAAGTATGGTACCACAGAATTTCTATACTTAGACGTGCGAGCATACAGTTTTCTGAAGTTACTCCTTGTTCTACCTGAGGAGATGCGGGGTGAAAGCTGAGGGTAAAGTGGATGCTCCAAGTCAGACAAAATCCCTCTAGCAAATTTATTGCACGAAGTCAAGTGCCTATCGACAACGATGTTGATTTTGTCACTTCGTTGGGGAGGGAGGTGTTGTAACCAGTTCAAATTCTGTTTTAGTCCATCACTCCTGTTCAGACAATTGCGATTCCACTTGATATGAAGTACTTCTGATGATGTGAGACGTTCCTTGTGATTTCTCAAATTTTTCTGGATGATCATTTCAATATTGTCAAAATCAATTTTTTGGCGTGATTCCATAACGTGTGTAGACCTGTGTCTGGTGACTTTTCAAGCTTTTCCAGTCCAACCGGATTTCCCGGTGTTCGAATAGAGGCAGCTGTACGGTGTTCATTCCTTTCGATTACCTTGATTTCTCACGATGTTTGTCCGGTGTATATCTCATCGCATTCCAAGCATTTTATTTTATAGACACAATTAGATAGAGAACCCTCAGGGATTTGGTCTTTCATATGGACAAAGTTGTTCTGCTGTGTGTCTGATGTTTTGAAGAAAACTCTAATGTCGAGCTGATTGAGTACTCTTCTGTTATCGTCTGACGTCTCTGCTCTATATGGAATGACGACTGTTGAGGTCAATCTTTTCGGAATGAGTTTTTGGCCATACTTAATGTCTGTATTGATTTTGTTGATGAAGTTTCTTGGGTAGCTGTTTTGCTTGAGAGTCTCAGTAATGTCTGATATTTCTTCTTCTTTTTCTTTCACATCCGTTATCAGAGAGTGTGCTCGTTTAGGAAGACTTGAAACAACTGATAGATTTGCGTCGATGGGATGTGATGATCTGAAGTCTAAATATTATCAGATTACGTGAACATATGTCTCTGTAAGAGTTAATGCATGACTGAGAAGGATTAATGGTACTTTTAGGCTTTTAATTATTATAAGGTGATGATGGATGAACTCGCTTACAACATGAAGTGACATACTACTGATAAACTGTGATATGAGTAGTTGGATAACGTCGGATAATACGGGGTATTGTTTAAAGTGAAATTAACAAGAACAGTCAAAATAATAACGGGTAGATAAATTACTCACATAGTCAAGGCTTCGATTCCTCACAGACACACTGTTACAATTCTCATGGCCAGTTTTGATCCCGGAAAAGAGGGGAGGTTGAGTAATCTCAACCCGTTAGAAAAACAATACCCCTAATTTGACTACGAAACTTGAAACCAGTGTCTCACTAGAAACGCAAGTAAATGAAATAATACAGAATGAGTGTGCAAAACGAGAAGTAGACGTGGAGATAATATTAGTTTAGCACAGGTGGATTAGGACCATGAAAGAAGGAAAGAGTGGTGGAACAAACTTTTTCTCTATATACAGAGCTTTGAATTTTCCATCCCAATGGCCAAAGCTCCAGAAGTACTGATGAGTTGGACACATAATAATTTTGGCATGTACTTTTTACCCTATACATAACTTCAAAGGAAAAGATTGTAGAGATGAGATGACCAATACTGACCATTTCAGTTACAACACTCTCTTCTCTCTTCTTCGAAACCAGTTATAGTGTTGATGTTGCAGCCTTTCAGACTAAACATACGTCAAACAATTGATCAAACCAGCTCCACGGCAGCGGTCGAACTGGTGAACATATAAACAGTTGGTCATTTGTGGGGTATTGTCCTTGAAGTCATTGAACAACAACAGTCGACTAGGAAACACTTTCGTCCATGATGCTAGAGCAAATATCCTTTTCAAAGAGTATGAGATCCTTCCTTTAAGGATACGCGGCATTATGCTCCTGTCCATCTCAAGCCGCACCATCCTGGAGAGAATCGAACACACCACTCTCGATGAAAAACTTCCACCGGAACAGGCTGGATTCAGGAGAAACAAGTCATGCATCGATCAAATTGCAACAGTATGGATCATCAGTGAACACAGCTTGGAATGGCAGTAAGCTCTCTACCTCACTCAACTTCATCGACTTTGAAAAAGCCTTCGACAGCGTCGATAGAGAGGTAATTTGGCAACTACTTCACTACTACCAAGAGGTGCTGCAAACAGTTATACATGTCATCCAACAGTTGTGGGACAATGCCGCATGTCGAGTAATCCGCAGTGGGAAATTCACCGAATCTTTCGAAGTGAAGACGGGAGTAAGACAAGGCTGGCTGGCTGCCTACTATCTCGAATGATTTTCCTAATTACGGTAGACTGGATGATGTGACAGACACACAGCGGGTAACTAGGAGACGGACGTGCAATGGACCCTCATGAAACACTTTGAGGAACTGGACTTTGCCGATGATATATGTCTGATTTCCTACAAACTGGAAGATATTTGAGTGAAAAGCAACAAGTTGACTCAGGGACAAGCATCAAAGATAAGACTTTAGGCGAACATCGAGAAAACAGAGGTGATGAAGATTCCTGGCCAACACCAACAGCAACAACAACAACAGACAACAATCAGAATAAATGGGAGGAACCTGCAAGAAACAACCTGCTTTACCTACCTGTGAACTGACGAGGATATCAAAGCAGCAAGGATCGGGAAGACAAGGCAAGCTTTCATTTCTGTCGAGTCTGTGTGGAGGTGAACAGAACTCAGCATCAAAAATAACATCTGGATTTACAACTCCAAATTGAAAGTCAGTGCTACTTACTATACGGATCAGAGACTTGGCCAAAGCGTCATGAAGAGCACATCAAACAAACTTCAGACCTTCATCAACAGCTGCCTTCGCTCAATACTCAAGATCAGATGGCCAGAAAGGATCAGCAACAGAGATATCTGGGAGAAAACCAACCAAGAAACGATTTAGGAACAAATAAGCAAGAAGAAAAGGAGATGGATTGACCATACTTTGAGGAAACCTTCAAGTGACAACCCTAGACAAGCCATCGCTCGAGTGGAACCCGAAAAAGAAGCATTGTGTTGGTCGTCAGTGCAAGGGTTACTTGGAGGAGGTCATGTGAAGAGGAGATGAAAGCATGTGGGCAGATGTGGAGCCAGGTGAAAACTCTAGGAGAGAACCGAACGCAACGGAGACGCGCGGCTTAAGCCCATGTTTCTCTAAGAAATGAAGGAAATAATAATAATCCTTTAAGGCTACTGGCAACTAAGTCACCTTTAATTTCAAGGTTCGTTTGTAGTATTTTCTTCGATATAGACATCAAATCACATTTCGTAAATTCTAACTGTACACTTTCATCTATAAAACTTAGCGGATATCCGTTTTTTCATTAGGAATTTTCTTAAGATATTTAACTCTTCCTTCATTATCAAGCATCACAACTATATATGCGCCAAATGTCAGTCACAAGTAATCGAAACGGATTTCGTTTTTGACGAATGGATGTTCAGCTGTAGAAACTTGTTAGCTGGCAATGGCATTGCAGCTTCTGATAAACTGATCTCGTCAAGAATTCACCACACCTGCTTGTTTACTTTGAATCATACATACGATTGTATAGCTTGATAATGCATCCGTTGAAAAGGGTTTCTTCGGTGAATCTCTTCTTTTAATTTTCTCTATTTCTAAATTATTTACTATTATTTCCTTTAATTCTTATAGGAACATTGGGCTAGAACTACGCGTCTTCATTGCATTCGGTTCTCCGCTAAAGTTTTCATCTGACTCCCTGTCTGCCCATATGCTTTCAGGTCTACCTCACATGACCTCCTCCAAGTCACCCTCACACTGACGACCAAATCGCCACTTCCAGTTCAGGTTCCACTCAAGAGCTTGTCTAGTGATATCACTTGCCGGTTTGTTTTCTCAGAGTATGGCCAGCCAATCTACCTCCATTTCTTCCTGCCTAATTGTTTCACAATCGGTTACTCGCCCTAATGGGAATTTTTTATGATTACTTCCTCCCTAATGAATTTGAACTGATCAGATCAGAGTAACGCCAATTGTAATAATTGTTGATCAGAGTTTATGCCACTGAGTTATCGTTTGCGCCTTATCTTTATAGACATCATATTATTTCTAAAAACTTCATTCCTTTATTTTTATAAATACAAACAATAAATAATATTATTAATTTAATTTTATTTTATTATTTATTTCTGATTACAGCTTGATTTCACACTGTATTTTCGGTACTAGTATGGTTTTTTCACCTTGTAATATCGGTAGCCCAAATTTTGCAGGCCGACCATCGATATCAGGTGTGCGTCGGTAGGGGATCGAACCTCGGGCCATGTGCATGGTCGGCGAGAGTCATAATCACTGTGCCACCGACGCACATATACAAATCACTGGAGTTTGTGATGAGTCAATAAACATAGAGTCTTTTAAACTCGAATGTTATAAAATCAACTGTCTTTTTCAACAGCTGCTGGATGGATTTTCCACCGATGACATTAATTGGTGGCCGCGATAAAATCACGAATTAGTAGAAATTTCAATTCATTGGCTAGGCATTGAATCAGGTCCAGCATGGAGGAATGGTATACCAGCTAGCTTGCACTGTAACCGGAAGGTCCTGGGTTCAAAACCTGGTGGTGAGTGCATACTGCTGATGATTCCCAAACTAGGATAGAACATCTGCCCAGTACTCCCTGGTTTGTTTTAAATGTTTCTTTAACTTACATCAATCCATGGGCAAACTCGAAAAATCTTCTGTTTTTATCATTACATTTCATAATACCTCCACGTATTTTCATTTTGTATTGATTAAGACTAAGTCGAATCCTGAAGAAAGGGCTTGGTTAGATCCCCTTATTCCAACAACACCAGCAAATAACGACAGGAAGGTATACGAGACAGAGCTGGAAGACATAGAAGGTCAAGAGGATGAACAGTCTTCAGATGATGGTGATGAAATTTCCAACTCCAGTGAAGAGATAAAACAATTCTTTAAAGAATATATGGCAAAAGAGAAACAAAGCCTTGTCGATTATAGTCTACCGAATGGTGTGAGTAAACTGCCTGACGGTGCTCTTCATATTTTCACTGAAAATGTCTCTAAAATTACTGGACAATATTTTTGTATTGCTGAAAATCAAATTGGTCGTGCAATGACTCCAGTAGAGTTGAAACAAGATTTCACGGGAAGATCAATGGATCAAATTGTCTACAATATTGTTTTACATGTTAAACCCTTTATCTATTCAGCTTTTTTGTCATGGAACAAAGAATCTAGTTTGCAGTCTATTGACAATGAGGAAACACAGTGCTATTATGTAATATATCACATACCTGTTCGATCAGGAGAAGATTGGATAACAAGTGAGTAACTATGGTAATTTGAAATATTAATCATGGAAAACCTGATCCATAGAATATTCCCTACAAGCTTTATCAAATTAATGTGAAAATATTGGTTTGTATTAAGGCTAAGTTAAAGTATCATGGCCCAGGAGTAAGAACGCTCATTGAATAACTGGGCTTTTCACTATTATTATATCGCCAATATGAACGCTATTCACCTTTTAACGAGAAAATTTCACCCCGATCACATTTTTAAGTTCTGTTTGAACAATGTATTGATTGATTGTGGTGCTTTCATGTACCTTCACAAGGTCTTCAGAAGCGGATGATGGACATGTAGTTAGGTGTACACAGTGTAAGTAATGAATGAGTGTTGGTAGTGTGGTAAGTTACACACCCATCTCATTGTTTTCTAGAAACTTCCTCTTCTAAATCCAAACTGCCTCTGACGAAAACATACTCTTTATGTGCCGTGATTAGATATTAAAGGCCGTGGTGAGAATAGTGGCTGTGGAGACAGATAATTAATTAGTGTGTCTACTGTGCAATGGTTCCAGTATTGCAGGAATATACTGTCTTGAAAGTTGAATACTGTTTCACAACTGTTAGGAAGAGTTGGTGTGACTGTTCCTATCGATGAAACAGTTCTTACAAAGAAGAAACGCAACCGTGGTCACTTCAGGGCAAACAACGCTTGGGTGTTTGGTATTTACGACACCGAACTTCAGAAAGAGATTACGGAGGTTACTCCAGGTTGTAGTTTCAACATCCTTCTACCAATTATTCAAGGGCTAGTCACCCACTACAGTACTGTTCACGCTGACGAATGGGTGGGATACAACCGCAAATCAGTTACTGCCTCACCTTCAACCTGCTCTATCCTACTGATGATGGCTTCCCACTAGAATTTCAGATAACTGCCTGAATAGGCCCAGTTGCTAGTGCGCACCAGATCAATTTTCAAGTAACTCATCGAAGAAGATACTGGGAAGTGGTTGTGCTATGTCATGAAGTGGCAGAAGTTAGAATTCATGGACTGGTCATTATGTCGATTACCAATGGCTTAATGGTCTACGAGCTAGCTCGTCCAGGTTTCCGACTCCGCCAAGTGGGTGCATACTGATGAAGAGTCCCAGACCAGGACGAAGCAGCTGTCCAACACTCCCAGGTTTTTCAATGATTATCTAACTAATGTTATCTCATGACGAAATCCTTTAATCAACCAAACAAAAATCCCTACAAAGCTAATAATTAAAAGCCATTTATTGAAAGAAAAATTATTCTTTTCTATATTATTTGTCATCCTTTTTTTTCGTCTTTTGAAGCTGTTGTACAGCCTAAGCATTCGAACAGAATACGATTAAATGGACTAATTCCAAATGAACTCTACGCATTTCGAATAAGTCTTTGGTGTACACCATCAAATCAAAGTTATTCAAGTAGTTCAACTGTGTTAATTAAAACGGAATCTCCGTTGAAATTGACCACTGGATATAAAGTTCAATTTGAGGAATTGGAGAAAGGTAATAAAAATTTGGTTTATCTTCATTAAACACTGTAGTTAAAAAAAATGTTAGCTATGCGTTTCACGTATTACTTCAAGAAACTTATATCCTTTTGCAATTATTAGTGTTCTATGAGTTGATTGGTTCAGTTGCGGAGCTTTTGTCGTCCCTCTGGACAACATCTTCAGAGCATTACTTAGCATAAACTGAACTGATTTAAATTTTCCATGAGTGGTAGAATTACATCTCATCGTAACCATCTTTCCATATGTGTATTGATCATTTTCTAATGATTTGGATTTTAAACTTTCTCGTCATATGGTTTACTTTGTATCAGTTGGTAGATTTGGTCTACATTAACGTGTTTGCTGATTGCATATTCGTTTGATTATCGGGCTTCTAGGAATTTCCTGACTGCACTTTCGGTGTTTCCTCCGTCTGAGATTTCGACATTATCCCAACCACCAAAGTGATGTCCATAATTGTCTATATGCATTGATATAAAGCAGGAATATATATCGTGTCTTTTCACGGCTGCTTTGTGCTCCTGCATTTTGATTCGAAGGGGTAGCCCACTTTGGCCGATATAATGCCTGTTACAGTTCACACAATTATTTATTTTGTAAATAGTATTAATTTTATCCCCTTTATTTGTTGGATCTTACGGTTCACACAATATCGAATTAAACGATTTGACTGACTTGTGTGCTATATCTAAATCAAACGGTTTCAGTACTCTAGCTGTTATTTCAGAGATATTTCTCATGTATGGTAGGCTGAATTTCCTAGTGGTCTTTGATGATGGTTCCTTGTTGGTGTTGTGATTCGATTTTAAACACTTTTTGATGAAATTGTGAGTGGGATAACCATTCTTTTTGAAGACCGTTTTTGGGTATTTTTCTTCCATTCTTTTCAACTCTGGAGTGCTACAGTGTGTGTTTTAACTCTTGTAAACAATGTCTGCACACCGTTTCTTTTGTGAGTGAGTAATTGGATTATTGCTAGTATAGTTGAGTATTTGATCTGTGTGCGTTGATTTTCTATATACTTGTGTTTCTAAAATTCCTGTGTTAGTGCTCCTGATTATGACATCTAAAAATGGGATTTTGTTATCTAATTCTTCTTCTCTTGTGGTGAATTTGATGTCTTCAACTTATATCCTTTAGCCACTGTGATAAAATTTGCATTAGGCTGGGCAGCCTCTAATATTACAATTGTAATACAAAATATTTCTGCGGAGTCATTTTCTACCCATCGACTTAATATGTATGTGAACTCTGAGTGGACAAAAAGTGGTATTAATTCTCACGTCATGCTAAATAACGTGTGGAATAACGGTGGCTAGAATTCATAGGTTATTGGGATTTTACTCCACTCTTTGTGTGATTGATGGACAGATTGACCTTGGATCTTGGAGGTTTGGGGATCATAGGTGAATTCAAATCAATTGACACCGTTATGAATAAGGTTAAGAAATCGACAGCGGACCATATACGCTGAATGAAATCGTTTCTAGGTGAGTCTAAAAGTAATAATAACCCCAGTAGGATGTATGGTGTTGTTAAAGTTCATAAGTGAAGATACCCTTTTAGACTTATAGTTGATTTTAGAAATTCACCTACTTATGAATTATTTAAATATTCAGCCATGGTATTAAATCCCCTAAAAATCCACTCGAAATCTAGACTAACTAATTCTTATGAACTAAAACACAGTTTAGATAATTAAAAATTAGATAATGAAGAGAAAACGGTTAGTTTTGACATTGTCAGTTTATATACATACACGTATACCATAAATATGGCTATAGAGGCAATCAGAAACGAACTCATTTCTGACCAAGAACTCGAACTTAGGACAAAAGTGCCACTTAAGGGCATAATGCTGGGAGTGCAGCTCTGCCTGACTTCTACAGTATTTAAATTCCAAGGGAAAATATACAAACAAACTGAGGGAGTTCCCATGGGATCACCAATATCCCCGGTTGTAGCAGATATATTCATGGATAGGTGGGAAAGCATAGCGATTGAAACGTTCACCCCCACCCCAAAAGTATGGTGGAGGTATTTAGATGACACATTCACTGTACTTAGAACACAAGATATAGATAGATTTTTTAAACACATCAACTCGAAGGCAGAGAAAATTCAATTCACTTGTAAATTGGAAAGTCAGGAAGAGGAACTTCCAATGTTAGATTGCAACGTAAAAAGGAAAGAAGATGGGAAGTTTAACACTAGTGTTTACAAGAAACCCACACATCCAAACAGATATTTGGACTTCCGATCATCCCACCCCATGTCAGTAAGAAGAGGACTGGTGAAATGTTTAAATAACAATGAAGCACAAAATTAAGTAGTATCAAGAACAATCTCCGACAGGAAGTGACACATATAAGAGAATCTTTGAAACTTAATAATTACCACTATAAATTAGTCAGAAAGTATGTAGGAAAATGTGAAACTAAAATTAATAATATAATAGTAGTGATAGTGACTGTATTCATAGTAATAATAGTGTTAATGATGACATACATGCCAAAAATGCACAGAATAATGATAACACCAACAATAGGGAATTCAAACCATCAATATCGCTTCCACACAAAGAACGAAACTCGAAAACCTTCAGGGGAGAATTCTTAACAATGCAGGAATCAAAGTGGCGTTCGAGCCCACAAACCAAGTTAGAAACAAGCTTTGTCGGTTACAGGATCAATCCTGTGAAGTCACTTAAACAAAACAATTCAGTTTACCTAGTAACCTGCCTTCAATGTTTTGCGCGTCAGGCCATCGAGTGGAACCCGGAAGAGAAGTGGCGAGTGGGACGTCAATGCAAGGGTGACATGGAAGAGATCGTGTGAAGAGGAGTTAAAACAGTATGGACTAACATGGATGCAGGTGAAAAGCACAACAGAAGACAGAAGCAAGTGGAGATGTGCAGTTGAAGCCCTATGTTCCACTAGGAACTCACGGGAACAATAATAATAATGTTTTGCAGGTCAAATACATCAGCAAAAATAGTAGAATGGGCTTAGTCAGACTAGCGGAGCATAAAAAGCCACTAAAATATAGATTACTCGACCCCAGTAATAAGGTAATAAACCTGGAGAATAGTCCAGCTATAAGCATTTACCACATACCATTACACACAACCATACAATATGATGGATGGGATAAGATGGCAGTTTTAAAACTCAACATAACAAGGTGAAGGGAGAGATTGATAACAGAAGCTTTATTTGTGGAATCTAGTGAGAACACGTGATATAGGAATGACTCAACACCTGTCAACTTGAAATTCTGGAAAATTCTACTACCCCCAATGACGAATACGTCCTTGAGCCAACAAAGTTTATCTCTGAAAGGGTTGCTCGGCGTAAATGCCTGCCTAATTTCAGCGTTAATGAGGATCCTAGGTAAGACCTCTGACGTTCCTTCTTTATGTGAGATTACTACAAAGGACACAATAAATCCAATTAAGAAAAATAATATAATTTACCAAATACCATGTAATGACTGTTAATGAGGTCAATTACATAGGTCAGTCAAAATAGTAGATCCGGGTCCTCTAGATTATATTACAAATATAACTAGACCTAGGATAGTTCATCCTGCTAAATTGAATAACCTGAGAAAAAAGCTCAGGCATTCCATGGCATTCACTTACACATGTAATTACAAAATAGGATGAGTGGAACAGGATTAAAGTATTAAAAAGTAATATAGGTAGGTGGAGAGGTTAAGAGAGAGGTTAATCACTGAAGCTTTGTTTATCGATTCAGCACCGCGCACACGTGCAATATCGAAATGACGCAACACCTATACCGGAGATATGGAAAATGGTAACAAACAACAAAGAGAATTTGGAGGGACAGAATTGAGAGAAGATTTATATGTAAGATAAATTTTGAAAGCTTGTGACCAAATTGACATTAATCTTAGCCATAATTTATGCCTGAAACTTGAACCAATTGTTAATACTTCACCATCACGGTGTGATATTTAACTAATGCCAGCTCTAATCACATTATCTTTATTCAAGTGAGCGAAGAATTTGACTAGAAAGTAATGTAATTTGTCTACTTAATAATCTCTTATGTCAATCTTTGTGTTGATGTAATACCTCAGTTGGAATACACTAGTCTATTTTTCAGAAAAAGAGTACTTGAGATACAGAATAAAAATTTGCAATTCACTTTACAACATCTTGAAGAACCGGAAAATGTATTTGTACAACTGTCTCTGTCGTTTGTTCTCAATGAAAGTTCTTTCTTTTTTACCATCACTTAGTCACATGCTGATTTAAAGGAACAGTGTAACGCATTTGAAATCGTTTCTTTTTGGAAACGATTTAGTTTGATGAAAAAAAGAATAACATGACTCTTAATAAATGTTTCGACAATTTATTCCCCTTAATGAATTTGAACAAAGCAAGAACTACAGTTTTAGCAGAATAATGTGGTACCATCATTTATTTCGTTGGCTTCTCATCAGCTGCTTACAGCCTAAATAAATTATGAGATTTAAGTACAGACATGTTTTAACATACTTGCAAATTTTACATGTTGTCAGTTGACAGAAAATTCCACAATTAGTAAACAGTGCTCAGAAGATTGCGCTTATATAGTTTTCACACAGGCAGTTCAAGTTAAAACAAAATAAATGTATGCAGAAAGTGGTAAAGGAGTTACGTAATAAAGATGAGATGTGCGTTAGATGCATAGTGACTAGTAAGTTAGGTAACAATGTACTGAGTTGAGCTCAAATCATAGAAACAAGAGACAAGCAAAATTACAGATTATAAAAGGAAGGGTGAGGTTAAGGACAAAGACTACGTAATCAGATGAGAGAAGAAAAGGCATCCAGTTACCAAGGCAAGGAAAGACTAATAACTGCTTCTTTCTGAACACATAGATCTGGTTTCAAGCGCTTGATAGAAATCGCTTCAGCAAACTTAAGGAGAATTGAGCTATTTTGCTTGTTGATAATTTTGAACGACTTTTCGACGTCCACCTCATGACCCATGTCGAGGAGATGCCTGGCGATGGCACTGTTTAAAGCATTTGTTCCCTTTACACATAAGCTTTTTGGTACATGTTCAGAAAATCGTAGATATGCCCTTCTTCTTTCTGTCATTCCAATGTAACTGCTCCCGCAGATACATGTAAATTTGTATATACAGTTGGAGTTAATAACGTGAGAAGGATATCTATCGATTTTTGATTGCACCAAAGAGCAAGTTGTTCGATAGACGGGAGCGAGCTTGGCTGCAGGATAGGCTATGGCTAGTGATGTACTCAGCCTTCTGTTGATCATCGCTGCAATGTTTTCACCTTTATAGTCAAGCTGAACGTAGACTGGCTTTTTACCCACTGTGATTTGTTTTACACTTGTGACTTCAGATCTTCCATACTTGTTGATGAACTTTTGAGGATACCCATTTCTCTTCAATATCTTTTCAAGGAACTCAAACTCCTCCTCTAATTTCTCTACAGAGCAAATTTTCCTGGCTCTATAGTACAGAGTCTTGACTAGACCCCGTTTAAAGCTATTTGGACAAAAGCTATTAAAATGCAAGTATTGTCCTTTCCATGTGGGCTTTCGATAAATTGACTTTTGAAGACTACCGTCTTCTAGGCGTTCCATGGCGATGTCGAGGAAGTGAAACTTTCCGTCACTTTCATGTTCCATAGTGAACTCAATATTGGTGTGTGCACCACTGAATAATCTTAGTAAGTATGAAGCATGACTTTCATTTTTGCACACTATAAATGTGTCATCAACATAACATAACATAATGAATAGGAGTTCGACAGTGCTCATTGCTTTCCAACTTGTTGTGAAAGTGTCTTTCTAGAAGTGTAGGCGTACGAAATGCTCAATCTAGGAGTGTTTAAGTTATTTTACCAACCAACCAGCCAGACAAACAACCAACAACACCAACAACTAAAGCAGTAATCACTATGAATGAAAGAAAATTGAAAGAAGGCACTCTCCCCCACCCTTATATGCAAAGCATCGTTTCAACCACAAGGCGGATTTTAAAGATGAACATTTCAAAGCTGTTCAGGACTGAAAAAGTTAGACACATCATAATTAATCTGAAATTAGTGTGGACATATTCTTCTCTCATCACAAAGAACAAAATTTAGATTTTCAACACCAATGTGGAGTCATTCGGTGCTTTTTTCAGACCACGTGCTTGATATAAGTATGAAACTTGGACACTGTGGTAGAGTATAACTCCATTATGGATAAGATTTTATTTTGATAAATCACACAGTGGCATTATACAGTAATATTAACTGATGCGATCACGTTTCGATCACAAACTATTCCCACTCATAGCCATATCAAGTCACTCACTCACACAACTTTTTCCCTTCATTTATATACATGTGTGGAATTGGTCATTAGACATTTGAATAAAAGTCAATATAGGAAAATGTGCATTCAGAAATAATAATATGCATGTTACCAATCAAATACAATCAGATGGGAAATAAGACCAGTGTTTTTATAGACATCAGTAATAAGTAACCTGTTAGAATGTTGTGATGTGCTTGAATTGAAATAGAATTTTGAGATTATTTATTATCCTCCTCTGATTTGACTGACTGACTGACTGGTGGTAATAATATTTTCCATGCATATTTCTGGTATTTTCATTGAGTTATTTCTGTTGCATGTGTTGTGTTGGGTGTAGACTCGATGAAGCAGGCAGGATTCAGTAATCGATCTCTCTCTCCACCTACATAGATTACTTCTTAGAATTTTACCCCTCTCCCAACACTATATTGTGTGGTTGTGTGTTAATGCGTGCACTGCGATATATATATATATATATATATATATATATATATATGCAGTGGAACCAATTTAACAAAATAAAATAATTTAGATCGAGGGTAATAAGATTGGCGGAACACTAGAATTTAGCTAAGGTAAGAATATTTGACCCTACCTGAGAAGATAAGTAATTTAGAAAAAGGCTCATCAATTGCACTGCATCCATTGACACACAACCACACAATAGAGTTGAAGAGGGTTAGGATTCCAAGAAGTATTCTATGTAGGTGGAAAAAAAGATTGACTACTGAATCCTGCCTGCTTCATCGAGTCTACACCCAACACAACACATGCAACAGAAATAACTCAATGCAAATACCAGAAATATGGAAGATATCATTAACACCAGTCAGTCAGTCAAATCAGAGGAGGATAATAAATAATCTCAAATTGTATTCTATTTCAATTCTATTCACGTACATCACAACATTCTAACAAGTTACTTATTTCGACTACAAAAACACTCGTCTTACTTCCCATCTGATTGTTTTTGATGGATAACACGCATGTTATTATTTCTGAATGTACATTATCCTATATTTTTTTTTTATTCAAGTATCTAGTGTACTCCACACATGTGTATAAATGAAGGAAGAGAGTTGTGTGAGTAGTGTCTTGAAATGATTATGAGTGGGAATATTTTGTGATCGAAACATGGTCGCATGAGTTAATATAACTGTTCAACACTGTATGACTTATCAAAATGAAATCTTATCTATAGTGGAATGAGCACGGGCTCCTCGAAAAGCAATCTCAACAGATTTCAGAAATTCATCATCATTGAAGATCAGATGTCTGACTCTGGAAACAAACCAGCCAAGAACCTATTGCCCAGCAGATAGGTAGAAAAAAATGTATATGAACTGAGCACACTCTGAGGAGATCGCTGAATGACATTGTGTGCCAGGCTGTCTAGAGGAAGCTGAATGGGAAATGGTGAGTTCAGTTATAATCCAAAGGTAGCTGAAGAAGACTTCACGAGATAAGGAAAAAGGTGTGCTATGGAAGCCCTATGCCCAACTTGGAACATAAGGGAATAATAACAATAAAAGTTCATTTAGATTTCCCTATGATCGGTCATGTTGGACCGAAAACCTTGGTCTCTTACTACATATCGGCTCCTTGTACGGACGCCTTGACAACGTTTACGGATAATTATAGTACTATTTCGGTTGATGGTAACCAGCAGTGGAATCTTGGAGGCACATTTCATCCGATTTGGCTGTGTATTTAAAGCGCATAATGCCTAAAGTCTTTTAATGTGCAAGATAACATCAACCACTTCTTCATTTAAGAATGTTTTATGTTTAATTAGCTGTGTTCTCTGAGCTGGTTAATTGAATTGCGAAGCTTTTTGCTGCCTCCCGTCTAAAAAACATCTTCAGTGTAAGTTTTAGTATAAAATAAACTCATATATATCCTCTATGAGTGATTAACTTGTGTCTCCTGGAGACCATTGGTGTCACGAATGGTTGTTAATTTACGTCTCTATTGATCATTTTCATTGGCTTAGAGTTCAAAATTTCTTGTCATAGGGTTTACTTTTTATTAGCTGGTAAATTTCACCTTTAGTAATGTGTGTGTGTGTGTTTGTTAATTGATAAGTGAGTACCAGTCCTCCAGGAATCCCCGGGATTTTTGTTGTTCCCTCTGTTTAAGACTTCTGCATTATCCAAATCAAACTGGAGTCCATAAATTATCCATACACATTGATACGAAAGAATAGGCATCATATCCTTTTTACAACCAATTTATATTTTTGCATTCGGATTCGCAAGGGGACACCCACTTTGATCGATGTAATGTCTATTGCAGTTCACGCATGCAACTAATTTTGTAGATGGTATTAATTTTGATTGCATGGAGGATTTCAACATGAACTGATATCAGTTAGAGAGTTATTGGAAAACCAACAGGAAGTACTGGACAGCTGTTTCGTCCTGGTCGAGGACTCTTCATCAGTACACATCCAGTGGTTCAATTTTCTACGAACTCGCCATGTAACCAGAAGGTCCTGATTTCGAACCGCAGTGGTGGTTACGTACTGATGAAGAGTCCTGAACTAGAACTAAAACAGCTGTTCAGTAGTCCCAGATTTTCCAGTGGTATTAATTTTGTCTTCTTTTTCTCTTGGATCTTTCAGTTTGCACAGTGTCGAATGAAGTGACTGTGTTGGTTGGGTTAGTGTGCTGTCAAACTATTTTAAATGGTCTTAATATCCTAGCTGTTTTTTCGGAGGTATTTTCTATATATATGTTAGGATGGATCTTCTTGTGGCTTTTGATGTCTTATTGTTGGTGTTATGATTGGAATTTAAACACTTTAGGATGAAAATTTACTTTCTGTGCACCTATCTCACAGGTATCCCCAAACCACCTACACCACATTCTCTAAGACTACAGATAATCCAAGCTGAACAACAAGAAAGTGTTTTAATGTGGAAAACTCAAAGCAATTCTCAATTCTCTGCGCTTCACTCGAATAGCCAACAACAGGAAGAGCAACCAGAATTAGAACAAACTGCGCCAATTCTATTTTTTCAAATTGAATTCATTATTTGCACATACTTAACCAACAATCTTTCATCTGGACTGACTAATTGTTCTGACAGTAATATAGACATCTACCAGTGGAGAACACTGGCGCCAATACGTTATCCAAAGTTAACATTTGAAATCAATTCTCATAGTAAAATATTAGATTCAACTCAAAGAATTATTTTATACGAGAATGAATTGAATGGTGCCGATAGTGGTGCAATAAAATCGACAATTGAACATATTCAAATCAATTCATTTTTAACTAATTTATATTATGATCCTTTAATATATGAGCTGAGATTTCGTGTCCGATCAATTGGTTTAATGTCAATGAGTGAACCGTCAAATCAACTGATCATTAAACATCCATTATTATGTAAGTTTAGTAGTATGTTGATTAATCGGTGATTTTTAAAACTAAACACTTTTATCTTATCCTATACTCATAGTTAAGCATTTTGGAATGATCTTTGACTGATGATACCTTTTAGGGAAATTTGTTTCGAAAAAACATGGTTACTGAACAAAGAATAATGACATTTTCGATAACCTGCTCTTTTTATCAAGTTCTACAGTTATAAATTCATCCATGATAGTAAATTAATTAGTGTCATTAATTTAATGAAGACCACTATACCAAATAGCAGAGGTCATAGTACATCTTCCCTGGTATGTATCAAAACAAAATTTATTAAGGAAGGTTCAATGTGATGACAAATTGTTTTTGAACACATAAAAGTGGTTTAAACTTTTTCATAGGCAGCTAGTGCTTCCACAAACTTAAGGATACGTCCCAAACACGTTTTATAGATAGGTTTAAAAGATCTGTTAACATCAATTTTATGTCCTGTCTCTATAATATGTTTCGCAATAGAAGAGCTAAGTCTCCTGTTCTCACCGTTAATAAGTTCTGAAGATTCCATTTGTTTCCGGAGCCATTTTGGAATATGCCCTTACTTGCAGAGATCGATGAGTCCTCCCTGTGTATGTGTGTCCACGTGTACATTCAAATTGGTAAATACAGTGGGATGTGACACCATTTTTCGCATGTTCGAAGGGCTTAGATAGATATAATGGCTTTACATTCTCTAATATTATGATATTAGCTGCTTTTCTTGTACTTTCTTCTCTTGCTTCGCGTGCTACACGGAATGTGGCGACTTGAACTTCCGCACATTTGTGCAAAGTTCTATGTCGAAAACAGACAGACAGATTAGCTGCATAAAACGTCTTTTTAACAGGAGCGTTCAGCCTTTGTCTAGTTATCAAGCTGCTTTGGTGTCCCTTATAGGGTAGCTTGATGTACACGTCTTTCTTAGGGGCGAGTTGGAGAGTGGGTGTTGGTGTTCTGACTACTTTATATCTCCTGATGGATTTGTCTGGATAATTGTTATCAACTTTCTTTCTTCTTCATTAAGCGTGTCTTCACTGCATATTCGTTGGTTTCGACTCGTTCCTATATCCGTGTATGTAGAGTATGAAGCTGAGGACGAGTTCTATCGAAATTTGATGAATCCATTGAATCATGCAGCTTTATTAACCTACTTTGTTGCTTGTTTTAAACTCTGAATTGAGTCTATCCAGGCTAACTACTAAAGGACACGGCCGTAAACTGGTGAATCAGACTTTCAGTGTTCAAGCCACCTACAGCTGAGTAATAAGCACTAACCACTATGAGACATGAGCGGCTTTCAGAATCTCATATCAACCCGTCAGTAGTTGGTTTGTGACGTATTACTTAAACAGATTCTAAATGTGTGGTGGAAAATTATTATTATTATTGCTCCCTTGGGTTCCTAGGGGAACATAGGGCTTCAAATGCACGTATCCACTTGCTACTTCTGTCTTCTGCTGTACTTTTCACCTGCATCCATGTTAGTCCGTACTGTTTCAACTCCTCTTCACACGATCTCCTACATGTCACTCACATTTGGACGTTCCACTCGCCTCTTACCTTTCGCGCTCAACTCGAGCAATGGCCTGACGCTCGCGCGATGTTACCCAGTGAGATGCCTCCCCAGCCACCAGTGTCCAATCCATCTCCACTTTCTCCTGCATATTTGTTGATTGGCGGTTGGTTCTCGTTTTGTTTGTTTGTTCCCATAGTTTCTTGTTGCTGATTCTTTCCGGCCTGGCCCGGCCATCTGATCTTCAGTATAGATCCATCGAAGACAGTTGTTGATTGATAAAGGTCTGCAACAGGCTGTTGGAAATATTCTTTGTGAGCCGCCCGCCAAGTCTCTAATCCGTTCCGTATAGAAGAATTGACTGACTTGACGTTGTTTGTATTGAAAATCCGACTGGATTTTGTTGTTGATGCTGGCTGGCTGAGTGACGAAGATTTCCAGATTAGATTGGTTTCAGGTTGATGAATATGTATGTTTCTCGCCTTCCCGATTCTCGCTCGATTTGACATCCTCGTCCGCTCCTCCTGTAGTTGAGACAATGCTCCCTAGATAAGTGAATGAAGTAACCTCTTTCAAATCCCTCCTGTTAGTGGTGATTGGCTGCTGGCTGGATGTTGCTGTTGTTGTTGTTGTTTGGTTATTTTCATAACCTCCGTCTCGTCTATGTTCACCTGGAGTCCTGTCTTCGCCGGCTGCTTCTTCGACCAGTTTGTCAGTCAGTTTTCGCATGTAATTCTTCGATTTTGTGTGACATCAAACATAAATCATTCACGCGCTAAATCCAGGTCTTCTGGTTTCTTCACGTCGGTCCAGGATATCCCTGTCTTCTCGTTTACCACTTACTGTCTGACGCATAATCCAGTCCACCACAATTAGGAATATCATTGGTGATAATAGGCAGCCACCCTTGTCTGACTCCTGTGTTTACTCCAAACGCCTAGCTGAGTTTTCCGTTGTGACATGTGCCCGTTGTCGTACAGCTGTTGAATAAGGTTGATGAATATTTGGGGTACGCCGTAGTACTCGAGTAGTTTCCAAATTACTTCGCGGTCCTCGCCTCCTTCTCAAAGTCTATAAAGTTGAGGTAGAGGTTTGATTGCCATTCCATGCTTTGTTCTGTGATGATGATGCGTAGAGTTGCAATTTGGTCAGAACATGATTTGACTTTCCTGAATCCAGCTTGTTCTGGTCGGAGTTCTGCCTCCAGTGCGTCCTTAATTCTCTCCAGGATGATGCGACTCAGGATTTTACTTGGCGCCGACAGGAGCATGATTCCTCGCCAGTTCTTGCAGAGTGAGGCTAAGTCGCCCTTCTTTGGTAGTTTCACGAGGTAACCTTTCCTCCAGTCAGTAGGCACCTTTCCCTCCTTCCAGACCTTTTGCAATAATGGAGTCAGCATGTCTGCTGTCGTCTCTGGGTCCGCTTTCAGTGCTTCAGGGGGTATTCCATCTGGTCCGGCTGCTTTTCCAGCTTTCAGAAGCTTGATTGCATTCAAGACTTCAGCTCTCGTTGGAGGATTGGTGTCAACTTGCAGTTTTGTGCGCGCTGTTGTTGGTATTTCTGGACGGGTTGCAGGTGATGGTCGGTTCAAGAGTCCTTTGAAGTGATCCGCCCATTGTTTAATCTGTTTTTCTTCCTTGGTAATTGGGTTCCCTTGGCTGTCTTTTATAGGTTTCGCTTGTGTTGATCTCTTCCCGGATAGAGATTTGGTTATCTGATATAATGTCCTCAGGTCCCTTTTGCCTGCTGCCTTCTCAGCTTCAGTGGCGAGGTTGTCGTAGAATCGTCTTTTGTCCTTCCTAGCACTCTTCTTCACTTCTTTGTCCAGTGCTGTGTAAGTTGAGCTCAGCGTCTCCTTCTCCTGTCCGTCCTTGCATTGAATCATTTTCTCTTTCACCATTCTCCTCTCTTCTATTAATTTCCAAGTGTCCGTTGAGAGCCATTCCTTGTCTTGTCTCTTCTTTCTTCCTAGAACCGTTGAACACGTTTCGTTGAGAATCGCCTTCAGAGACTTCCAATGTTCTTCCACGCATGATTCTTCAGTGATGTCGCGTAGTGTTTCCTGCTTTGCTCTGACAGTTGCAGTGAAGGTGTCTTTTGTGGTTGTGTCCTTCAGTAATTGAGTGTTGAACTTGCATTGTGGCCTATCCCCAGCTATCCTCGAGGCTTTTAGTTTCACCTTGAAAGTCCCTTGTACTAGATAGTGGTCTGAACCCACATCTGCTCCTCTCCTTGACCTTGTGTCCAGTAGGCTCCGTCTCCACTTTCTTGAAATTGAGATGAAGTCTATTTGGTTTTTGGTGTTTCCATCTGGTGAAATCCATGTCGTCTTGTGTATATCCTTGTGTTTGAACACAATGCCACCAATCACCAAATCATTGAAGGCGCAGAAGTCTGAGAAGAGTTCACCATTGTCGTTCATTTCAACGAGGGCCTCTCGACCCATGGTGAGTTCTCTTCCTGTGTTGTCTCCTCCCAGCTTCGCATTCATGTCGCCCATCAGGATTTTGATATCGCCATTTGGGACGTTGTCCATTATTGCTTGTAGTTGTCTGTAGAACGCCTCCTTCTTCTCTTGTTCTGAGACGTTTGTAGGCGCATAGCATTGAATGACTGTAACTTTCCTTCCTTTTGAGTTGAACCTGGCTGTCATTATCCTGGAGGAGATTGGTTCCCACTGCATGAGAGCTTTGGCTGCTGTTGGTGACATCATGATGGCCACTCCCTCGGTGTGCTCGTGATTGTCCTCTGGGTGGCCGGAATAGATTATTGTCTCCCCAGTTGGTAGTCTGTACTACATCCGTTCCATCTGCTTTCGCACATTCCCAGCACTTCTATTCTATATCTTCTCATTTCTGCTGCTACATGGGCAGCCTTTCCAGTTTCGTACATTGTACGAACATTCCACGTGCCCAATCTTATTTTTGCTTTCATCGAAAGAGGGCACATCGACTGACTGGCTTCCCGAAGGCTTTCACCAGCCTGGGTCTTTTCACTTCCCCGATTCCAGCTAAAAATAAGGTTACTGTTTATATTTTTAGAATTTTCAATATATTGGTGCATTGAAGTTTCTGTAGCGGTTTGGTTGAGTTTTGGGAGTGGAGTTGCTAGCACCGCGCTCCAACCCTCCCTCTTTATCTGGGCTTGGGACTGGCTAGAAAACTAGCAAGCTAGTAGTCTAGACGAGGTTGTCATGGAAAATACCTTCAGTTAATTTTTTATGCCACTGATATTGTTTTGTTTTCTGTCATTAATCCGATGTGTTCTTCATGGGCATTTTTGTTTCATTTCAGCATCGATCTTAAACTCTCTCAACCAAACACTTCATTATGAACATTATCTTATCTACAGGGCGATTCGTCAATCTTTACACAACTCCAAGCAACATCATAATCAACAGTCTTCCCCCACCTCGATAGACGAAGCCTCAACCAAGACAACGCGAAACAATACCCAGCTAGTCAGTGACAATAATTATCATACACATAAACAAATCAAAGGTTATTGGTATATCTACTGTATAATTCTAGTCTCAGGATTTCTTGCCTTATTCCTTCTAGTTTTTATACCACAGAAAGTATTTCGAAAATACAAACGAAAGGTTCAGAACCGTAAGAATACCAACGTATCAGAATATCAAATGGTATCGAATTCATGTCAACCGCCAGGGAGACATTTACTCCTTCAAACTTCCCATGAAAATACTCTTAATAATCAATACTATCCGCATGATTCGCTTGTATACAGATCACCAGATCTAGTGTATAATCCGAAGAAATACGCTGTCAATGAATTTAATCAACGGCATAAACCAGTGGATGTGAATAACAGTGATTTTGAGGTTTATACCAAACATGAGGAAGTTAATCCTTATGATGAGCAGACATTGTTACAACCGTATGACTTACATGTAACCAGTCCAAAAGAATATCAAATAAAACCAAATGACGAAAGTTTTGAACAAGTGTATTTAATTATATCCAGTCATAATAATACTTATAGTAATAATAATATTAATAACAATACAAGATGTTGTTCTCTAAGTCCTTTAAATAGACAACAAACAACAGTCAGTAATCAGGATTCTTATGTCCACAATGTATGGAATAAAAGAAAAAATACAGACGAAATAAAAGAATCTGATGGTGAGTCCTCTTTTTTTAAGCTGAAGATCATCCAACACAGTAGACTTGGAAATTTAAATGACTAAGAATACACAGCCTTTAATATACTTGTAAAACTTGGGCACTGCCGCAGTCAGTAATTCCATATTAGTTTGTTTATTAGATGTGTCACACAGTGATGAAACAGTATTACTGTTTACTGGATGACACACTTTCGAACCAAATTTATTGTTCATAATCATATCAATTGTAATTAAACGACTTCGAAACTTGAGTTTCATAGTTTTCCCTCTCCTCTCCTATTTGTCGTCGTTGGTTTGGTAGAATTTTCCAGGTACCTCCACCATACTTTTGGGAAGCCTTTAAAACAAAACAATTTCGTTTATCTAATACCCTGCCTGCAATGATTGTCAGGTTAAATACATAGGTCAATTACACATAACACCACTATACAATAGGATGGGATAGGATGACAGTTTTGAAATCTAATGTCACAGCAGGGTAGAGGGAGAGACTGATGTCAACGGAAGGTTTGTTCATCGACTCAACTGCAAATACGTGTAATAGGAATGATTCAACACCTGTGCAGTCGGATATCTGGCAAATTCTACTACTCCCTATGATGATGAATAGGAGAGGACAAAGAAAACTATAAAATTCAAGTTTCAAAGTCGTGTGAATACAATTGATATAATTATGAACAATAAATTTTGTTCGAAAGTATGTCATCTATTTAATAATACTGTTTCATCACTGTGTGATGCATCCAATAAACAAACTAATATGGAACACATAGCCTCTGATAGCAGCGAAGTTATCAAGAAATCTGGCTTAGACATCTAGAAATGTTACTATGTTGTCAAATTCTCCTTCTACCGTAAATTTTTGATGTAGTCGAAAATGTTGGTTAGGTTTTTGGGTACCTCCTAGTTTGTTTTTCTTTCAATCCTGACAGATGTGCTCTGCGTGATACCTATCCAAACGTTTGGTTTAATTTTACTGGTAGAAATGGAGTCGCAAGTCTCTATATGGGAGCGGTAGAAAGATGTTTTGATATAGGCAGTGCCTACTTCACATAATCGTGTATTTTACTACCAAATTAACAATCCACTGTGAAGCATCCACAAATCGAAATGAACGAGAGAGATTTGACAGACGTTATCTCTTTCAGTTATCTGATAAGCATCGTCTCAACTATAGGCCAGTGGAACGGACGAAGGTGTCAAAGACAGGCAGCCAGAAGAGGAAAGGCAAGATACGCCTTCATCAACCAACCTAAAACCAGTTTGGAAATCTTCTACACTCAGAATAATGAACAAGATTCACATTTGCAATACAAATGTCAAGTCAGTCATCTCTTCTATACGCGTCATCAGAAACTTGAACTGCGTGTCATGAAAAGGATTTCCAACAGAATACTGTGGAGTTTCACCAACAGCTGCCCCCACTATGCTGGCTGGCTCCATACTGAAGATCAAATCACCAGCCAGCTTGCCGGAAAGAATTAGTAATATGAAACTCTGACTGGGAACAAACCAACAAGCAAGAGCCGATCGCTCAACAAATATGTTAGAAAAAATAGAGATGGATGTAGCATACATTGACCAGGCCTCCGAATGACATTGCACATCAGGCCAATGCTCAAGTAGGATCCCAATAGGAAGAGACAACTGGGTGGTTGATGCCAGGGTGACATGGAGGACATCGTGTGAGTTGAAGGAAGAGATCAGAGAGCTTGGTCAATCGTGTAACTAGCCAGCTGAAAAGGACGGCAGAGAACAGAACAAAGTGGAGATGTGTTGTTGAAACCCAATATTCCACTCGGAACGCAAGGGAATAATAAATAAATCATAAGTAACGTCTGCCTCAGTGTCACGTTTTTATGTCTTCAGAGAGCTATTCATCATTGCTACTCAACTGTTGGAGAGAAAATATACTCTGACGTTCCTGAAAGTGAAATAATAGTCGTAGAGAGGTGTCTGATTTGTGTAGTTTGAAATGACTTTAAAAGTGAGACTAAATGGTTCCGTTGGATTTTATTCACCTATAATTATTCCTTAATTCCACGAATTTCGAGTTTTAGAGTAAGCTATCGGTTCTTTCTATTCAACAGTCGTTCAAAGAAATCATAGGCTCCCAGTGTAATCATCTTTCTTCAATGATAATTAACCTTCTTTCCTCATTAGATAGTAGTATAACAATGTTCTTCGTGTTTTCCAGACTTTACATCTGTTATTTTTTGGAATACTGAGTCGAACATTGTGCATTTTCCGTTTAGTACTAGGTATGATATTTCGACATGTGTCATAAAAGATCTTTTCATTCAAACCTAATAGCTTGAACAATGACTTCATATCAATCCTGTTGATTAAATTATCTACGAGCGTGCCTTTTAATCGAAATGTTATGGTTTCGAACACCGGTGGGTGCGAATTGGTGAGGAGTTTCAAAATAGGACGAAACATCTGCACGGTACTCCCAGGTTTCGCGAATGCTTTTCTAAACGATATCAGCTCATGGTGAAATCCTGAAAGCAAGAAAAATGAATTTCTGATGTATCTCCAATACTGCGGTTTATTTGCTCTTGGTTTCATGCAATTTATGGATAACATTTGTTTGGTGAATTCATCATTTAACAACTATTCTATGTTACCTCCAGTTGGCTGTCTGACAATCTCTCGACTTGTCTTTCCATTTCATTATTGTTTTTGTTAAAAAAAAGGTTAATTGAGAATTATTTACCCTATTTATCTAGTCTTTCCATTGTCTTCATTTTGCGTCGGTGCCACATCGGTAGAATACTCACCAAACACGCCTTACGTGACTTGAGGTTCGATCGTCGGCCATCTACGCTCTCCCAAACTTCGCTAAGTCAGTAATAAGACTGATAAAGACAGAAGGTTTAGCTTGAGGTTGGTAACCCGGATCCTGTAAAAATAAATGCCAATTCTGTGGTAACTTCAAAGCTGTAACTTGAAGCCTGTTCCACTGGGAACGTTAAGGAATAAAAAACTTTTTAAATGTCTTCATTTTCATTTAATTGAATTTTAGATTTTCCTGTCGATTGATTAGACCGAAGTGCTCGGTCTCACGTTGACATATCGGCTTCTTGTGCAGATGCTTCGACAATGTCGGAGCATTTAATCAGGATTTTAATGTGTAAATGGTGACTAGCAGTGTGGAATCCAGGATGCGCATTTCGTCCTATTCGGGACTCGTCTACTAAAGGAAAACGAACTTTCTTCTCATAGTTTACAATTATAAACAGAATAGCTCAACTTAAAGTTGAGCGAAGAATGCAACAACATGCATAGATGGAATTAATTTGAAATATTTTATTCCTTAGAGTAAAGCGATGCCGAAAAAGAACTTTATATGAGGAAACTTTCATCGTATCATAAACCTAATAAACAATTGTGAAGCAATCTATGATACTATTCTCAACTCACCCCTTGCATCTGATCAGATAGAACTAGAAATCATCATAAAAGATTATATGCTCGTACAAGTAAGTATCGAAACTCAACTTTAACCTATGTGGCCCGCGTGCTTTATGATACAGATACGGGGTAAGCGCATAACCTACGAGTTACTATGTTATTAGCGCAATAATCGTCGTGTTTGTTCTCTCCTATTTGTAATCTATGGTGACACTATTTCAATCAACTTATAATTTTAGCTGTTAACATTATCGTCATTCCATTATGGATAAGATTTTATTTTCATAAATCACACAGTGTTCGTTATACAGTAATATTAACTGATGAGACCAGGTTTCAAGCACAAACTATTGCCACTCATAGCCATATCAAGTCACTCACTCACACAACTCTCTTCCTTCATTTATATACATGTGTGGAATTGGTCATTAGACATTTGAATAAAAGTCAATATAGGAAAATGTGCATTCAGAAATAATAATAATATGCGTGTTACCAATCAAATACAATCAGATGGGAAATAAGACGAGTGTTTTTATAGACATCAGTAATAAGTAACTTGTTAGAATGTTGTGATGTACGTGAATAGAATTGAAATAGAATACAATTTGAGATTATTTGTTATCCTCCTCTGATTTGACTGACTGGTGGTAATAATATCTTCCATGTAATTGCGTTGAGTCATTTGTGTTGCATGTGTTGTGTTGGGTGTAGACTTGATGAACCCCACAGGATTCAGTAATCGATCTCTCTCTCCACCTACCTAGATTACTTCTTAGAATTTTACCCCTCTCCCACCACTCTATTGTGTGGCTGTGTGTTAATGCGTGCAGTGCAATATATATACGCAGTGGAACCAATTTAACAAAATAAAATAATTTAGATCAAGGATAATAAGATTGGCGGAACATAAGAATTTAGCTAAGGTAAGAATAGTTGACCCCACCTGAGAAGATGAGTAACTTAGAAAAAAAGCTTAGCAATTGCACTGCATCCATTGACACACAACCACACAATAGAGTTAAAGAGGGTTAGGATTCCAAGAAGTATTCTATGTAGGTGGAAAAAAAGATTGACTACTGAGTCCTGCCTGCTTCATCGAGTCTACACCCAACACAACACATGCAACAGAAATAACTCAATGAAAATACCAGAAATATGCATGGAAGATATTATTACCACCAGTCAGTCAGTCAGTCAAATCAGAGGAGGATAATAAATAATCTCAAATTGTATTCTATTTCAATTCTATTCACGTACATCACAACATTCTAACAAGTTACTTATTACTGATGTCTACAAAAACACTCGTCTTATTTCCCATCTGATTGTATTTGATTGGTAACACGCATATTATTATTATTTCTGAATGCACATTTTCCTATATTGACTTTTATTCAAATGTCTAATGACCAATTCCACACATGTATATAAATGAAGGAAGAGAGTTGTGTGAGTGAGTGACTTGATATGGCTATGAGTGGCAATAGTTTGTGCTTGAAACCTGGTCTCATCAGTTAATATTACTGTATAACGAACACTGTGTGATTTATGAAAATAAAGTCTTAACCATAATGGAATTATATACTCTACCACCACAGTGCCCAAGTTTTATGCTTATATCAATAATATTTTCGTCACTATTTCACACTTTTACATTTTAGACTTTATTGTCATTGCAAATACAAAAAAGCTGCTATTACCAATCTTCTGATATTATTTTTCTATTTTCTTTTTTCCTGTTTTTGAGTAAATTGAATGCAATACTGGCCAGAGGATTTCATCATGAGCTGATATCAATTAGAAAACCACCGGAAAACTAACTTGGGTGTACTGGATAGCTGTTTCGTCCACCTAGTTTGGGAACCCTTCAGCAGCACGCACCCACTGCCAAGGTTTGAAACCCAAGACCTTCTGGTTACTAGGCAACCTAGCTCGTAGACCATTAAGCCAATGGGATCTTACCCGATCCAAAGCCCTGTCAGTGCGTGAATTCTAACTTCTACCAATTCATGCAATAGCGTGACCACTTCGCAATATCTTCTTTAAAGAGTTACTGCTTCACCTTGAACCTGATGCACTCTACTGGTTATGACTTCTCATTAGAATTTCAGGTTACTGCTTGAACAAGACCAGTCGCTAGTGAGCATCAGATCAATTTACAAGTATTGGTTTTGTAGGGAAATTTGTTTGATTCGTTGGAAGATTTCATCCTGAGCTGACATCGGGTCCCAGTGGCGTAACGGTCTACGAGCTAGCTCGCCTTGTAATCAGTAGGTCCTGGGTTCGAACCTTAGCAGTGGGTTTGTACTATTTAAGAGTCCCAAACTAGGACGAAACAGCTGTCCAGTACTCCCAGGTTTTCAGTGGTTCTCTAACCAATATCATCGCATGATGAAATACCCCAACCAATCAAACTAAATTCATTACAAAATAACTCATTGTCAGACTTCACAGATGTTCTGGCATCTCTCATTATCCCAAAAAATCACTGGTTCAATTATGTATTGAATTGAATTTTTGATTTTCCCGTCAATTGATTGGACCGAAGTGCTCGGTCTCAGAAGCCGACATGTCAACCTGAGACCGAGCACTTCGGTCCAATCAATTGACTGGAAAATCAAAAATTCAATTCAATAATTAATATGACCCGTTGCACAAGAGGTGGCTTTCGTGGTCCAAGTGGTCTAGTGGATAACGCTTTGGCGTTTGAAACTATGGGCACTGGGTTTGAGCCTCAGTGGGAACATCATCACTCACTGATAAATGCAGGTACATGCAGCTGACGAGTCCCAAATAGGACGAAATGCGCATCCTGGATTCCACACTGCTAGCCACCATCCACCAATTGTGGTTCAATTATGTGATTAAAGTCTTTTCATGTTTTTTTTTTATTTTCCGTCTAAGGTAAAAAGCACAGTGTTATGGAGCCCTTATTATTCAGGTAAGTACTATTCGGTTTTTATCAGTTGTTATTAATTTATATTATTATTCCTTTGCGTCCCGAGTGGAACATATAGCTGGCTTCAACAACAATCTCCACTTTGTTCTGTTTTCTCCCGTCCTCTTCAGCTGGCTAGTCATACTCTTGACCAGACTCTATCCTCTTATCTTCCAGCTCACACGATCTCCTCCATGTCATCCTCGCACTGACGAGCCATTCGTCTCTTCATATCAAGATTCTACTTGAGCATTGGCTTGGCATCAGATGTCATCCGGCGGCCTCTTCAGTATATGGTCGATCCATCTTCACTTGCCCCTATATATTTGTTGAGCGGTCGGCTCTTGCTTGTTGGTTTGTTCTCAGGCAGAGATTTTTATTACTAATTCTTTCTGGCAGGTCATTTGATCTACAGCAGGGAGCCAACGTAGGCAGACGTTGATAAAAGTCGGCAGTAGTCTGTTGATAATCCTCTTCGTGACACCCAGTGCAAGTTTCTGACTCGTTAAAACGACGTGACTGATTTGACATTTGTATTGAAAATGCGAATCTTGTTCATTGTGCAGAGTGTAGAAGATTTCCAAACCGGTTTCAGGTTGGTTGGTGAAGGCGTATCTTGCCTTTCCTATTCTGGGTGCCTGTCTTTAACACCTTCGTCCGTTCTGGCTGCTTTTAGTTGAAACGATGCTTCCCAGATAAGTGAAGGAGTGAAAATCTGTTAGATCTCTCTGGTTGATGGTGATTGGTTGTGGTTGTTGTTGTTGCTGTTCGTCGGTTATCCTCATCACCTCCGTACTCTCTATGTTGATTTGAAGTCCTTTATTCGCTGTCTCTTCATCCATTTTGTTTTTAATTCTCGCTTGCAAGTCTTCGAGTTTATGTGGCATTAGACATATGTCGCCTGCGAAATCCAGATCTTCCAGTGTCTTTTTATCAGTTGTCCACCGTATTCCTGACTCTTTACGCCCAGCAGTCTGACGCATAATCCAGTCAACCACAATTAAGAATATCATCAATGATACTTCTCGGTTAGCACTGTCTATCGAATTAAGATAATGATAATGACAAACGATAGTCTCAAATGAATCAGAAATAGTAAGAACTAGTTAACAAACTCTAATTACACAATCGTCAGCTACTGTAAGCATCTTCTTGTTTGCTTGTCTGATGACATCAGTGTGGATGACTTGACAGTGTGTGAATATCATGCTCGTAGTCCACAAGATATTTTGTTAGTGTTATTAAACTTTTAGGCCTTTTCGACTTCAGCTGTTTTCAACCACCTTGGCAAATACTTTATCATGCCAATAGACAACTGCTTTTCTGTACGACCTATATATATTTGCTTCCACAATCACAGGATTGTGGTTATTTAGTTATTTCTACAAAAAAAGATCTATTTATAGAAAACCTGCCTGGACAGGACAGTATCTTAATTACCACAGTTTCTGCCCTGTTAGGTACAAAAGAGCCTTAGTGAGTGAGGTGCCTCTTCAGTAGAATCCAACGAATATGCACTGAAGACACGCTTGATGAAGAAGAAAGAATATTGACACAAACTCTGGTTGATAACAAGTATCCAGACAAGTCCATCAGGAGATATAAAGTAGACACAACACCAACACCCACTCTACAACTCGCCCCTAAGAAAGACGTGTACATCAAGCTACCCCATATGGGACATCAAAGCAGCTTGATAACTAGACAAAGGCTGAACGCTCCTGTTAAAAAGACGTTTTATGCAGCTAATATCATAATATTAGAGAATGTAAAGCCATTATATCTATCTAAGCCCTTCGAACATGCCAAAAATGATGTCACATCCCACTGTATTTACCAATTTGAATGTACGTGTGGACACACATACATATGGAGGACTCATCGATCTCTCCAAGTAAGGGCTGGCTTCCGAGCACATTCCTAAATGGATCCAGAAAGAATTGGAGTCTTCAGAACCCATTATTGGTGAGAACAGGAGACCTAGCTCTTCTATCGCTTAACATATTATAGAGACAGGACATAAAATTGACGTTACCACATCTTTTAAACCTATCTATAAAACTTGTTTGGGGCGTATCCTAAAGTTTGTGGAAGCCCTAGCTGGCAATCATAAAGCTTAAACCACCTTTACGCGTTCAAAGCAACAATTCTTCATCACATTAAACCTTCCTTGGTAAATTTTGTTTTGATACATACCAGGGAAGATGTACTATTACCTCTGCTATTTGGTTTAGTGGTCTTCATTGTTATTTTGACCTTGAATATGTCCTTTTAACTTGACCTAAGTAGTCTATTTTCTCACCTCTTACCTCTTTATTAATTTCATATATATTCCTATGATAAGTCCGTGTGTGATGGATCAGATTGTTCGAAATGTGTTGCGCAAATACATAACACACACGATTCAGACAAATTACGTCTTTTTATTGCTTTATCTAAATACAAAATATTATTTGCAATTTTATAAGGTATGGATTAATTCAAAAAGGTTTGACTCACGCTATTTTTGATATGATAACTCAGAAGTGGCTTAAGAAGTAAAATTAAAATTAAAAGTTGTAAATTACGTGGTACTCAACCGCACAACGATAGAAGTTTGATAAGGTTAAAATTGCTATTGAGTGATGAGAATAAAGGTGGTATATCAGTGGCAATTTAACAAGTGTGAAGAGGGTATGAAATGTACAGAAGGAGCATATGAGAGTGATAATAGTGAATTCATTATTAAAGCAAAAACAAACTAAAAGTAAAACTAAAAATTAAAAACGAAAAGAAAAATAAAAAATTTTTTTACAGAGAACGACTAGTGAAGAGGTTAAGACCAAGGTAGAATAAGAGACTGGACAAACTTTTTTTGTATACACAGAGTTTCGGGTTGTATTGACGAATTGCCAGCGCCTCCTTCATACACAAAAGCTGAAACCTGACGGCCTTTGTACCATTTGGCTTCACTTTGTAGATGATGCTGAATGACGACTCTGGTGGAGCTAGGTGGCCTGAGTTCACCAAATGCTCAAGAATTGAGCTAGTAATTGTTTTGTATTGTCCCTTTGCCAATTATACCGGATAATGTTCAGTGATGCGTTTGGAAATTGTGCTCATTGTACGGGCGGCCAATCTAACTAGCTCCACACGAGCAGGTGAATTTCCTCAGTGATCTGCATAAGCGATTCTTCCATATCTCAGCAGTGGTATCACTTTTAAATTCAACGCTCATAAACAACAGTTTCTTCGGCATCGTCTTGGTTCTTTCAAGCTTCTCCTTTAACTTCATGTTTTTTTTCGATAAATCTTGGAGGATATTCATTTTCTATGAGGACTTGTCTGAGTCGCCTCAGTTATCCATCGATTGTATCACTTGAACATAATCTTCTTATTCTTGAGGATAAGAAGTGGATCAAGATTCTCTTTCTTCCGGAAGGGACTCAAATATGGAAATTTGTGTACTGACCATTCCGTGTTGGTTTCCTGTAGATCGATCTTTGAAGAGAACCATCAAAAAACACCAAAAAAATTGAATTCCGAGTTCGTTTGTGTTTTTAACGTGGATTGGATGGTATGATGGCAGTTTTTAAACTCTTTAGTTATCAATTAGATGTCTGTATTGTCGTCACATATACTGAAAGTATCATCCATATAACTCTGGCACAAATGGAAACTATCGATATTAAGCCCTCTTCACATTTTTATTATTATTATATTGTTGTTCCCTTGGGTTCCTAGGGGAACATAGGGCTTCAACTGCACGTTTCCACTTGCTACTTCTGTCTTCCTTCTGCTGTACTTTTCACCTGCATCCACATTACTCCATATTCTTTCAACTCCTCTTCACACGATCTCCTACATGTCACTCGCATTTGGACGTCCCACTCGCCTCTTCCCTTTCACGCTCAACTCGAGCAATGACCTGATGCTCGCGCGATGTTACCCAGTGAGATGCCTCCCCAGCCACCAGTGTCCAATCCATCTCCACTTTCTCCTGCATATTTGTTGATTGGCGATTGGTTCTCGTTTTGTTTGTTTGTTCCCATAGTTTCTTGTTTCTGATTCTTTCCGACCAGGCCCGGCCATCTGATCTTCAGCATAGAGCCAGCGAAGACAGTTGTTGATTGATGAAGGTATGCAACAGGCTGTTGGAAATATTCTTTGTGACCCACCCGCCAAGTTTCTAATCCGTATAGAAGAACTGACTGACTTGACGTTGTTTGTATTGAAAATCTGACTGAATTTCGTTGTTGATGCTGGCTGGCTGAGTGACGAAGATTGATATCCAGATTGGTTTCAGGTTGATCAATGTGTGTGCTTCTCGCCTTCCTGATTCTCGCTCGATATGACATCCTCGTCCGTTCCTCCTGTAGTTGAGATAAGTGAATGATAAGTGTTAAGTGAACGAAGTTACCTCTCTCAAATCCCTCTCGTTGATGGTGATTGGCTGCTGGCTGGATGTTGCTGTTGTTGTTGTTGTTTGGTTATTTTCATCACCTCCGTCTCATCTATGTTCACCTGGAGTCCTGTCTTCGCCGGCTGCTTCTTCGACCAGTTTGTCAGTCAGTTTTCGCATGTAATTCTTCAATTTTGTGTGACATTAAACATAAATCATTCACGCGCTAAATCCAGGTCTTCTGGTTTCTTCACGTCGGTCCAGGATATCCCTGTCTTCTAGTTTCCCACTTAATGTCTAACGCATAATCCAGTCCACCACAATTAGGAATATCATTGGTGATAATAGGCAGGCACCCTTGTCTGACTCCTGTGTTTACTCCGAACGCCTAGCTGAGTTTTTCGTTGTGACATGTGCCCCCGTTGTCGTACAGATGTTGAATAAGGTTGATGAATATTTGGGCGTTGCACGCCATAGTACTCGAGTAGTTTCTAAATAACGTCGTGGTCAACGCTGTCTATCGAAGGCCTTGTCAAAGTCTATAAAGTTGAGGTAGAGGTTTGATTGCCATTCCATGCTTTGTTCTGTGATGATGATGCATAGAGTTGCGATTTGGTCAGAACATGACTTGCCTAACTTTCCTGAATCCAGCTTGTTCTGGTCGGAGTTCTGTCTCCAGTGCGTCCTTTAATCTCTCCGGGATGATGCGACTCAGGATTTTACTTGGCGTCGACAGGAACATGATTCCTCGCCAGTCCTTGCACCATGAGGACTAAGTCACCCTTCTTTGGTAGTTTCACGAGGTAACCTTTCCTCCAGTCAGCAGGCACCTTCCCCACCTTTCAGACATTTTGAAATAATAGAGTCGGCATATTTGCTGTCATCTCTGGGTCCACTTTCAGTGCTTCAGGGGGTATTCCATCTGGTCCAGCTGCTTTTCCAGCTTTCAGAAGCTTGGTTGCATTCAAGACTTCAGCTTTCGTTGGAGGATTGGTGTCACATTTTTTAAATTGACACTAAGTTACCTTTATTCTCACTCAAAAGCAATTTTGACACTATTTTTATTATAACTATTTTTTTCGTAACTCATTCTGTTGTTGAATATAATTTTAGGTCTGAGAATATGAATCCTGCCAAACCGACGTTAACCAGATATCCAGTTAGTGAGACCAACAGCAGCTTGCAATGCAAGTGTCTACCAGCATCAAATTTAAAATTATATACAACATATGCAAATTACAAGTCACCAACACAAATACCTGCAGTATTAAACTGTTCTTGTCAAGAAAAGCACCTAACCAGTCCTTCTGTTCAACAGCGACATCAATATGAACACAGCTCATTGAAGTATTCAATAATACCTTCAGATATTTTAACAATGTCACTACCTAGGAAGTAGAATAGTCAGCTTAAACTCTTGGCATTTTTAAAATACCTCGAAGTCGACAACATTATTACTGTCTTCTCTTTGTATAGATTATCTTTTGTATATTTTTCTGAAGCTCAGATCTCTACAGTTTATCTTTTATGAATTATAATATAAAAATGTATGAAAAAGAGTTTTATGCTTGTAAATAATAAAATATATTTATTCGTGTTCACCTGCTTTTCCTACTCACCTTTCGATTGTTTCTTAGTTATCGGGAATATTAGACTCGGTGATTCCATACAGTACATTTTACAAAACATGAAACTTTCGGCATGAAGTAGATTCTGATATGTTTGTGTTCTCTGAGGTGGATAGTTAATTTGCGAAGCTTTCATCGCCCCCTACTAGGCGACATCTTCAGCGCATACTTCAATTCGTTGAAGTTTACTAGTCATCTCTCCTGGTAACCTTCAACGTCGTGATTGGTTGTTTATGTGTGTTTTCACACCTTCTAGGCAGCTACTTGTATTGGAACTGATTGTTTCTTTGACTTGAACTTTGATGCTTTGTGTGTGAGATTTCTTTCTTATCGGTTGATAAATTTTGTCTATCTCGATGTGTCTATTGATTGATGATTCAATGGAATGTCAAGCTTCTAAAACTTCTCTAGCATTCTTTTGTTTCCTCTGTCATATATTTGAACGTTGGTTGTCCCAGTCGAATTGATTTCCGTGGTTGTCTGTATGCAGTGAGGCAGTATGCATGATGGAGTGGATGACATGGCTTTTGGACGGCTAGGTTATGTTCATGGATGTGAAGACGAAGGGGATGTCCACTTTGGCCAATGTAGTGTTTTTCTCAGTCGTTGCAACTTATTTTGTAGATGATATTAGTTGTAACAATTGTAACAACAGCTCCCTTCGATGGCTTCATAATGAAGAACAAATGGCCAGCCAGCCAACCAGCCACAATGAATTAATTAGCAACAAAAACTCTGAGGTGTTGAGCAGTTAGCTCAACAAAAACGGAGATGGATCAGACATGTGTTGAGCAGACAGCTGAAAAATAATAATAATAATAGATGGATATTATCAATTTCAATCTGTTGGGTAAACTTAGAAAAAACAGACACAGTTACTGGTAAAATGTTTATCAATACAATATGGTCACCTCACCACCCACCCACTCACCCCCCAACATTCTTAAACTTCATCTAAATACCATTCACGTTAACTGATATGACAAGATATCAATAGAATGAAATCCATCTTTGTGAGAATATAATCTGCTCACATTTATTTCACTGATTTAGACGAGATAGTGGGGTTTTTCCCGAATTAATTACTCAATATCAAGGATATCTGTCCCTCTCTCTCTCTCTCTCTAGCCAGACTCATTTTATCTCAAAAAAGGTGAGACAGAGGTACTACTGTGGTGAGAGCAGGCTGCTAGCCGATTGGTTGACACTAATCTACGTTAATGTCTAGGTCACTAATATGGGCCGTGAGAAAATATGAACAAGGCTGATCCAACAACCAATCACAGCAAAGTTAACCTGGCAAAATATGATTCGCAGATAGAGAACTCTATTTGTCGAGGAATCCCGAAACAACCAATCAGAAGCCTGCGTTTGTCTGCCTAACTTCTGATAAACAACCAATCAGATGACTGCGCTTGTCTACTTGCATAAGCTATAATAATGTATTTGAAATATATATATAAATACGTGTTGATTTTTATAATAAAACGATCTGTTGCCTGGCCCTTGTCTTCTGTTGTTACACTACTACTGACATTATGTCAGTCAGTCAGTCTGGTTCATTAGTTAGCTGGTTGTTAGTTGACTGCATAAAATGAGTGATAAGTTAACACTTGGTGTAAAAATGTTGTGTGTGTCTACTCATGTAGAAATAAATAACTACAAGAAAAAAGGTGCTACTCAATATCCTTCCTTTATTATATACGCCTAGGCCATTACATCCTCTAGTGGTATCTACTCTTAAATTTTATATCCAGATATGCACAGATATCTACTCAGAAGTGCTTTAATAAGTATAAAAACTACAAATAACTTTTAACTTCAACGAATTTACTTGAGACTACAGATAAATGCGAGTTTAAAATCAAATAAATAGGCCATTATTATTCAGAGAGGTATAATACTACAACAGAAGAAGCATCAACGATAGGATTTCACTTCAGGTGAACATAGAGAAAACAGAGGTGATGAAGATTACTGGGGCAACACGAACAGCAACAACAACAAACTAAACATTTGTGAAAAATTATTATTTGTAAAATCTCAGCGATATTGAAATGCGTAATTCCAACGTTTCCTGTGTTCGCCAATCTGGTCCGAACTTCTTCAAGGAAATTAATCGAAATTAACATAACAGAGGTTTATATGCAGAAAAGGAACATCTCTTGTTTTTAAAAACTTCGTCTAATCATGAGTCATAAAACAAGTATTAACAAGTATAATAAACACAATTGTATGAGTTGAGATCAAAATTTGACCTCAGACTTACAAATATTGATCTACCTTTGTTAAACACTTTAAACACAGTGTGTGTGTGTGTGTGCGGATAAACAGTTGTAAAACAATGTCTTAACGTCTCCATAAGTAGATATAGGCACTCGGGAACTTTGACCAAGTATTATTAGTTAGTGATACATATCCATTCTTATTTATTAATCAGGATTTCCTATGCGTCAGCTAACAGCACAACTTCATGTCTGTTCAAACTGTTAGTATCTAGAATTTTATGTGTAGAGGTCAACAGAACTCGCCATGAAAATGAAAATAAGATACGGATTTTCAACTCCAATATGAAGTCAGTGCTCTTTACTACACGGATCAGAGACTTGGCGCGTCATGAAGAGCACTTCGAACAAACTACAGACCTTCATCAACAGCTATCTTCGCCCAATACCACTAAAGATCGGATGACCAGCCAGAAAAGATCAACAAGAGAGATCTCTGGCAATGAGAGAACCAACCCAACAGCAACCGATTGTTCAACAAATAAGCTGGAAGAAATGGAGATGGATTGGATGGCCATATTCTGAGGAAACCATCAAATGACACCACTAGACAAGCCATTGCTCGAGTGGAACTCAAAAGGGAAGTGACGAGTTAGTTGGTCGTCAATGCGAGGGTGACATGGAGGAGGTCATGTGAAAAGGAGATGAAAGCATGTGGGCAGACTTGGAACCAGGTGAAAACTCTAGCAGATAACCGAACGCAAAGCAGACGCGCGGTTGAAGCCGTATGTTCCTCTAGAAATTAAAGGAAATAATAATACTATAACAGCAGATGAAAACATTGGCTAACTGAATGGTAAATCCCTTGAGTTATGAAAACTTCGCTTAGTAACTGAGGTGAATCTGAGACTTTAAGACGATCCTGTTGCTACTGTTACTCAATGCTCGCGTTCCTAAGGGTACATAGATCCTTAACAGCACATTCCCAATGTAATCCACTCTCTATTGTGTTATTTTCAGCGGGCTCTACGAATGTTCATAGGCTTTCATTTCCCAAATGACCTCCTCCATGTCAGCATCCAACGCCCACCTCATCTTTGCCTATTTGAGTTCCTTTAGAGATTAGGTCTAGTATATAACTTCAGTTGCATGTCCCCTCAGAGTATGCTCAGTCAATCCCCATTTCCTTATGTATACCTGTTTGGAAATGTGTTGTTGTTTGCCAGCAATCTGAAAATCAGCCCTAAGATAGAGAAGGTATCTGATGATGAAAGCCTGAAACAGGTCGCATCAAGTCCCTGAACCATAGGTAAACATTGAGTGACATTATCATCATCAACCTGCTGTACTTCACTAGTCACGGCTTCCCAACAGAACCCCTGGTTAGCCGCCTTTTTCATCCTAGTTTTGGACTCTTCAGCAGTAGGCGCCCATCGCTAGGGTTCGAACCCAGGGCCTTCTGGTTACAAGGCTAGCGAGCTCGTAGACCACTGAGCCACTGAGACCCGATTCAATGGCCCTTGAATTCTAACTTCTGTCAATTCACGACATAGCGCGACCATTTCGCAATGTCCTCTTCGATGAGTTACCACCTCATCTTCAAACTAGGACGAAACAGCTGTCCAGCATTCCCAGGTTTTCCAGTGCTTCTCTAAATTTTGTCAGCTCTTGATGAAATCCTCCATGCAATCAAACACAAGATCCCTACAAAACCAATACTTGAAAATTCATCTGATGCTCACTAGCGACGGGCCCTATTCAGGCAGCTAACCTGAGGTTCTAGTGGAAAGACGTGATCAGTAGGGTACAGCAGGTTGAAGATAAAGCAGTAATTCATCGAAGAAGACATTATTATCATTACTTTATTTCTTTGTGTTCTGAGCTTCAGCTTTGAAGTTACAATAGCAATGGTGTTATTCTTTCTTATGGGATGGAGCAACTAGCCTTACACCCAGCCTATCCTCTTTCCTGAACTTACTAATGGCCAAGGGTGGTTCACCAGTGAGTCCACTGGAGATGGAAATCCGGACCCTGTGAGTGTTTAGCGAATATCCTACCAAAGGATTATCGACGCATCTGACTGACATTAATGTTATAGAACGAGATCTTGTTCCACGCGTGAATTACTGTATATCTCCACACTGTTTATAGAGTATCTAAAGCCTGTACTCCTTTTGTGGATACACGCCAGCTTTGACATTCTTATTCATTCATTCTTTTGCTAACAGTGTCGTACCCTGAGCGTAGACTGTCACAGTTATACTGTGGTGAGAGCAGACTGGTAGCCAATCGGTAGACATTAATTTACGTCAATGTTTATGTCGCAAATATTGGTCGTGAGAAAAAATGAGTACAAAAGCTTTGCATAGGCGGATACAGTTAGCATATAGATGATCTGACATTCATGAAACAGCCAAAAAGAGATGCAAGGTTAACTTTCTGTGAGAATCAGAAGACTGTGTTTGTCTGCTTGAATAAGCTATGATAATGTACATGAAAATATACAAATACATGTTGATTTCCTTAATAAACGATCTGTTTCCTGGCCTTTGTCCTCTTTTTGTTACAATACTATTTATTTAATAGACTGTGGAACCTGAGCTCCTAGGTTTTTTTAAATATATATTATTTGAATTAAACAAGAAAAATAGTGATTTGTGCAAAAGAAGGAAGCACTTATTTCGCTGACTTCCCATCAGCTGCGTATAGCCTTAAGAATTGCTAAGATTATGTACAGAAGGATTTTA